TCTAAAAAAAGACCTGATTGGTTTATTTTTATGGTTGGAAATAAAATAAAAAAATTTCTGACGTTTGGGTGGCAATTTCGATCTCAGAATCACTTAATAACATCAGGATTTAGAGACGCCCTAACCTAAAAATGCGCAAAACTTGTTTTTTGTTACATTTAAGGTTATAAATACTGATCTTCTTCAAAATCCATTTTTAATTGTTCAATTATATCTTATCCTTTCCGAGAACTCTCTTGTATTCAACGTTTTTTTATTCTATACGCCATATGGGATACGTCATATTGGATCCGCCATTTTGAATTTTGTAATTCTGTAATTCGTAATCAGCGACCCCGAAAACCTCAAGAACTAGTGGGAATTTAGGTGTTTATATTTGATTGTTCACCTGTTGCTAGTCATTTTCGGAATATCGAGGAACACGCTAAACTAATCAATTTTAACAGACGATTTTTCGAAAAGGAAAGAAGATTTTCAAACAATTCAAAACGAATTTTGAAGGGGAAGATTAGTTCTTTCAGATGTTTTGAGCTTTATGGAGAAATTTACCTCGTGATGTAGCATAACCTCAAATATAGACAGGGTTGTTCGAACTTTTAGGTCAAAAGATCTCTAAAACCTAACATGATGAAGCAATTCTGATATCGGATTCAGAAAAACCTTTCGAAAGGTATCTGGATCTGGTTTGTGTTATTTTCTCTCATAATTTTTTGCAACAAAATTTACTTATTAGGTTGTTTTTTCTCTTATCTTTTTACTCAACTGTTTTTCTGATTGCTGACTCTGATTCTGATTACACAAGTATGTCTACAATTATTACATTCTGTCCGATTAAAATATGCTATCTACTGCAAAGAGATACCTAAATCGCAATAAATGTATCACCCTGTACCTATCTGTCTAGCCTCTGTCTCTAAATGCTTTAATAACATAAGTTGATACAGTCCTACAGACAATAAAAGAGAAATCTCGAAAGTTGTTAGGCTAGTATATTGAAATTTCCGACATAGAAGTTAAAATTAAATTATCACGAGAATATGAATATTATTAATAATAACTAAGTATTTAGTATTTAGTATCACGTGGTGTGTTATACGCTGTATATATTTTTATGTGCCTACATTCTACCCTGTATTTAAAATTTAAATTATTCTAAATTATTACAGAATTATTGCTAATTTGACAAAATATATAAATACATATATTTACCACTGTACTATTCATTAAGGTCTAAAGAATATAAAATAATCCTCAGCCCTTTTATGCCGGGCCTACTTGACTGCCATTTAAACCTTTTTATTAATCTGTGACTGCCATCACGTACGTAGTTTCATGGCCCACGGCCTGCTATTAGAAACTTTAAAACCTAAAGGTAGTAAATAATTGCCTTCTCACGACCTACTATGTGTTAAGAGTAAAAAGAGTATTAGATCGCATTGTGCGGAATAGGGTGAGCGAATATGTTCTTTTTTTGGTAAGAATTTAATTTATGAAATTATTTGATTTCAGTGGCTCGTGCCGAAGAAAAACCGGAGTATACCAGGTGGATACAACCAATGAGGTGGTGTTTGAAAATCATCGGTTCATTCGATCACTAGCCATGGGCTTAGGAAAGAGGTACATACATATTAACTGATATTTTCTTAATACTATCTACTACAAAGGTAACCTCGATCAAGTCTACATTTAATTTTTTGTTTTGCGTATAGAAACTGCGAAAATCCAAAAAATTAAACTATCTGGTTTATTTATTAAAATTTTATCGTTTTAGTAATATTTTTGGTAGTAATGTGACATTTATTATATTTTTAACAATAAATCAAGTTCCTGCTGATAAAATGTCACCTAATTATTGCATTTTTTATGTTTACTGGCATGTTAGCAGTTAGCCATAGATTTTTGATAACCTTTTACCTTTTGGCATTATTTATGTATTTTTGGGTGCCAGTTTGGTAAAAATAATCTCTTCATTCACTACAAGCATGATTGTAAAGTACATAAGTATATATTAATACTATTATTAAAACCGAAAGAAAAAAATAGTTTCGTGTATTTATGTAAATTTATAAAGGATCTGCGTCTCATTAAATATATATTTGTCTTCATTATGCGATCTGCGTTTGCTTTTCGTATTTAGCGAAGATTTTGCATGAATGAATAATTAATTATAAACTTGAATTGAAAGAGCGAGGAACTTGGTATATTTAATTTTTTTCTCAGTAATTCCTCTCTGCCAAGACCGATAGATGTTTGTGTACGTTATGGAATTTTTACAGACATTATAAAATCAAAAAATAGAAGTCTTATTTTTAATTATTACTGGAGTTAACTTTTAACTACCGATCATGCAGTGTAGTTACGACTGGTCTGGATATTTTTTTAGTTCTACTTTTCAGTTGTTAGTAAAAGCGTAATAAAAATATTTTGTGGGTATATTAAGGCTCCAGAGAGTTGAAAAACTGAGTATTCCGCAAGGACCAATCCTTAGACTAGTAAGTAAAAGCAATATACAAAAATGTACTATAAAATTTATTAAAAATAATCACTCACCCTCGATACGGACATCCTAAAACTATGGTACAGTGTTCTTCTGGAATACTTTGTTGTACAGTACCGATGTTTTCGCCGATTTGTCTGTTTTTATACATTTCCACCAACATGTCGCAGCAAATGTAATATGGTTTAATACTATTTGCCGAAGATCATAATTCCTTCGATAAGAAAAACAAAATTAATATGTAGTATTTGCCAATTATTCGGGTCTGTGATAACTGGATTTAATTAAAATCCCAATCAATGCGAATAAATAAATGCATATGCATGGCATCGTGTTTGCTTTACTTTGGATTTCTACGGACGCTTTAATCTCCAACAGTATGTTATTCTTGAAAAAATAAATGTTAGTTATTGTATATTGCATATATACAACGTTTCTCCTTTCATGGAATTACGCTTTACTCAATTGTAAAGGTATTAAAATAATTCAAAGAGATACAAAATTGTGCAACATAACCTAACTTAACAAATCCCCCTCTATATCTTTTTAACCGTTGAAAATATCGAAAAACTAACTCTGGCGTCACTCTAGCTCTTCTCCGAAGATTCCAGCAAACCAAACCTCATCTTTCTAGGTTGAGAAATAAAAAAGTTACGGGCTTGGTTAGTTTAAAGAATTTTAGGTGAGTCACGTGACATAACCTAACTTAACAAACCCCTCTCTATATTTTCTAATCGTTGAAAATATAGAAAAATTAATGCTGGCGTCCCTCTAGCATTTCGTCCAGATTCCAGCAAACCAAACCGCATTCTTCATGGTCAAGGAATAAAAAAGTTACGGGCTGTTCGCCTGTTTCAAAAATTAGCATTGAATTATACCATCAATATCTAGTAAAGCTACTAATAAATAATTATTATTAAAAATAAGGAAAAAGATCTTAAGGGGTCTTAACCATATAAGTAAACATTTGATTATACAATTTTTTTTTGTATTTTTCCTAGCACTTTTTCGTGAATTTTTGATGTGATAGCTCAATTCAGACACCCGATTCGTGATCAGGGGGCAAGAATACTATGGATAACATATGTCGCATGAAAAGTACAGACAACTTTTTTTTTGCGTGACTGATATGTTATTATTACAAAACGATTTTGTTAGAATTAGCTAACGTCTTTACAATAGAGTAAAAAAATGAGATTTAATAATAAAAATTATGTTTTATTTCCTCTTAGTTGAATATTAAATGTTTTGACATTTTAGCAGGTAATAATTGCCTGCTAGGCAATTATTCTGACACAACCAAATTTGATTTTAGTTATTGACGTTCGGTTCAAAATTTAAAAAGAGCTGGATTTCTTTAAAAAAATATATATTAGCGAATTTATAATCTAAAAGTCAATTCTAATTTAGCGTACCCACGAATCTTTCTCTGCTAAATTTTAATGAAGTGTTTTTAATTATTAAAGATAGATAAGCTTTTCCTTTCTGATTTTTATAAAATTACTCAATACGTCACTGATTTTTTTTTATCTAGTTGGTAACAAACAAAATATTCCAATAAAAAATACGTGGCAAAAAAACAAACAAAATAATATAACAACTATAAGTAACTAAATAATTCTCTCAATTTCAATTAACCAACTTCCTTTTTCTATGCATTTTTCGACTATTTTATTATTATTTTTCATCCACATATCGCTTAATTTTATTTTTTAGAGTTTTTATACTACAGAGTTTATCCCTATATATTTTTTTCTTAATAATGTTCCAGAAATGACGATAATTATTTAATATTGTAATTTTGTTTCTCATTTTGCCATAATGAATTTTCAAAAGTGTGAAAATATTAGCAGCAGGTACACAAATCTTTTTTTTAACAGTTGGATAGAAAAAGTTTAGTCAATAATTTGATAGTTTAATAAAACAAAAATTAAAAGGAGAAACGTATCTATCTATAATAATTTAAAAAAATAGTTATGCTGAAGCAAAAAATTAAATGTATGGATACTTATGCCCCGTGCATTTTATTCAATTTTGCTGCATAGGCGATTCTGGGAATGCTAAATTACTAACGTTTAACTGAAAAAAATATGTTTTTTATAGATTCACCCTCTTTTTAATTTCAGATACCTATGACTGAATTCAATTTTGCTTGGTAGAATTTTTCCAGCTGGGCCACTGCTTTCTTTTACCATGTTAATGAGAAACTAATTAAAAAAAAGAAAAAATAAACCTCTCATACAAATTACGTTGCTTCATATCGCTTTCTCAAGCTGTATTTAATTATTTTTTTGTCCTCACAAGTCATGTCAAAGTTGGAAACCCTCCGCAATTCCTTTTTTTTTTTTCAAAGGAGTGTCAAGTTTTCAAATGTCGTCTGTATTAGACATTTTTTCTTATTTAAATTTATCGTTTTGTTTCGCTTTGGACCCGCATACACTCTGGAAATCGATGAAATGTCATTTCAGGTAGTCTACATTCTGAGAGATAATCTAATCAAAGAAGAATCATATCTCGAAGGTTGTTTTAAAATCGGAATTTTTTCCTCATTTATATTTAGCATTTAGTCCATCCTTATATCTCAAATCCCCGCAAGTTCATGAAATATTATTTGAGGATAGCAGGTAAAAGAAAATCATGAAAAGTTACTAATGAAGTAACGGATAACGTGCAGAAAATAATTTAGGATAAAAGCAGCTGCTTCAAACTACGTTTGTGAGGCACCAGACACTTAAAAGTCACTTCAGAATAAAACACAATACCTCAAAACAGCCTCAGAACGTATTTCCATATATCAAATGGGTTCAAAATCAATCAAAATCCCTCGTATTTGGTTTAGAATTCTTCAAAAAGCATCAAAACTTCTTTTAAATTTTTCGAGAGTATTTGCCCCCTCATTGATTTGGGTGACGTTTTTCGGAAGTAGGTACTTCACGATATATAAAAGTTTTCTATTTCGAAGTGTTTCCAAGTTGTCCAATGTGTTTTGAAGTTTTCGTGGTATTTTGACGTATTTCGACAAGCTTCTCGAAGGATATTCAGGCAATCAATACATACCCAAGCACTTAATGATTTTTTAGTGTTTCGAAGTTTTTAAAAGTTTCCGATACATTTCGAATGTTGTATTAGTGTATTCTGCAGTCTTTCACATGTTTTAAAGGTGTGTTGGACCATCTCTTTGACAGCAAACTTGAAGAATTTTTATATTTTGTCGTATTCTAATCTGCTTCTAATCTGTTCCTTGACATATATTATTGCTGTTTTAAGTCAAAGAATTTTTAAGTATTTTGTATTACAATAGAAGTTTCAAATTGGCCGTTGGTAAACCCTTACACAAAATATAACACCGTTTACGAATTTAATTACCTATCTTCAGTTGTCTTTAAGAGAAACGTATTTCCCAAGAAATATGGATCACCCTGTACATAAGTTTTACAAAAATGTAATGGACGTATTAAATTTGTATGTTTTAAGAAAGATAAATAAGAAATTATAAATACATTATTATCTTTGTTTTGCTGTTTTAAATGTGAACTGGTGGCAAGTAAAATCAAGTTTTCTGAATTCGAATTCACTGCAATTTGCGCTCATGGCAAAGAACATTTTTTTCTAATCTAACCAACTCTATGGTCTTTCTAGTTTAGGAAATTCTATAGTACAACATAAAGTGACCACTCTGTATACGTAGATAATTTAGAACACACACTCTACGTCTTTACACAGTAAACCAGCGAATTCAGATGAGCGGAAATCGCATAAGCATTGCAGATTACAAACCCTGTACAATTTGTTAGTTATGAGTATGAGTCTCGGCAAGATCTGGCAAAATGAATTAATTTTAGCTTTTTTTTAGAATCAAACCAAAAAGTGCTCGGGTTTTGAAATTTTATATCAACAAGTTGCTGTTTCTTTTTTTAGAATCAGACAAAAACCTGTTTAGGTTACTACTAGGTTAATACCTATATCAAATTTACTGAAATAAATTCATAAATTTATTCATAAAATTCTTCAAAAACGATTAAGATTTTTTTCCATGTTATTTAATTAAAAAAATAACTAATCTCAGCTTATTCAAGAAAATGTATTAATTTTCAATTTGTTTTTATTTATTGTGGGTGTGGGTTTTATAGGTGGTACAGGTGGATGAATAAATATGCGTAATCATGCATGGACGACTGGATAGAAAGATATATGAATTCATAAATGGGGGGTGGATAAAAAGATGGATCCAGAACTCTACAACACGAATTATGCCATGAAAATGGCGTTTTTAAGCATTTTGATCTATTTTCTGTTTTTGATTGAAATTGGACCAGCTTGTCTGACTCTGTGATGATAAATTAGAATTAAACGAGTGAAAAATCATACGTCTAGTGAGCTGGTAGAATAATTTGATTTTTTATAACTCGTCGATCGTAAAAGACGTTTTTTGTTAATTTTGACTTGTTTTTAAAATTTTCCCGAACACTCAGACCCGTTGGGCCAAATCTGAAGGCAGATTCGGATTCAGCGAAAAAAAATACATGGAAATACATTGGTCTGAATACCAGATCCGATACTTTTTTTTGTTGGTCTGTGTAATTAAAGTAATATTTAAAAAACAGAAATTATGACATTTAAATGTTCGACTTAGTTTCTTTATGGTCTAACCTTGGGTTGCTTCTGTTATCCAATTACCTACTGGACTAGATATAAATAAAGAAAATACGCAATAATAAATAATAAGAATATACAATCAAATCGTCACGTATGTTTTCGGTTAATGTATTACACAGTTATTTGGTACAATTAAAACACAGGAACTAGGACAGACAAACTATGTATTATAAAGGCTATAATCGAAATTATATTACATATTTAAAATTTGATGCGAGGTACCTGCCTAGGCAGTCGAATATAATAGCATGGAATGTGTTAATCTAAATAAATAGTATATAAAATATTACAAACGGATATCGTAGGTATCTGTTTATTTTCGCAAACTGTCGAAGTAATGATTAACTTCCCTCTTTTCAATTTTCAGGAAAATTACGCCGGAGGAGATATTGCCGCCCTGCAGCCACGGCATCTTCCGGCAGAAAACTGCAACATGCGAGCACTTATCGCTCAGCGGATACGCTAGGGTGGCGAAGCAGTCGTTCGGTAATCTCCTGTCGAGAAAGATGGCGACAAGTACAAGTCAACCTTCAGTGCCCTGGTCAAATATTAAAGATGATTACGAACTGGGAAAAGTTATCGGTTAGTATTAAACGAAATTATATTCCACGTTCATAAATCTTCAAGCGGGTGTGTAAAACGTTAGTGTCCGGTTAGTGTTTCATACTAAAAAAGTGATATTTCAAGTTTATTTTAGGTTATGTACTTTTTTGGTGTTTCCATTCCGGTACAAGTTTTTTGCATTTGCAATGTAATAGCTTACTAATTAAGGTGAAATGGATTGATATGTATTTTTCTAGAGGTGTTCTTGTACCGACAAAAACGTTTTATTTGTTTCTAAAAAGAGGTAAAGGGGGTGTAACGTTTATTTTTCTACTTCAGCCACTTATTCAGTTGGTGCAAGATGCTTTTCAATTGATTTGTTTTGAAAATCATCCTATTGACTTTATTTAAATCGGTTTAATTAGACTTTATAGATTTTTAATTTGAATGTTTTCTACAACAGGTTCATTGACATCAATTGACTTCTTTTGGAATACAGATGAGATGCTATACAGTTTCTGAATATATAAACAAACAAATGTTCTTGCATGTTCTAGTCAATTTCATGGAATTTTTAAAAGTGAAAGGTATTAATATAAATCAGTTAAGTGTAATAATGAGTAATTAATATGTGATAGGTAAAATGTAGTTCTACGTGTGTCATATTTTATCAGTTTTTTTTCTTATCTAAAAAAAGTCCTTGAAGGTGCTAATTTAATAATTTTTGTTAAGAGCTGTGACCAGCAGATCCTAGAAAATACATGAAGGGTATTCCAAGACTACAAATGAGTAGGCCTTACTAGAATTTTATATTATCAGTTACATCATAACCATAATCTAATGTTTTATTTGAATTAGATAAGCCACAGCAAAATTATTCACAAACTATTTTAAATTTTAACTAAAGGTCATCGTACTTTATCTGTGAATAAAACTAAATGCATTATGAAAATAATTGTTTTATTTAAGTTCTAGATCTTACTTGGGCTTGATAAATCTAACTAATCACATTTTATCACATATTAAATGAAACGGAACTGATTTATGTTAATAAACTTGGCAAATTTGATGAAGTAATACATTTATTTTTTTAACACTTTTTTTGATAGCACTAAATTTTCCTTATTTATTATTAAATAAATTTCTAGATAGGACCATTGATTAAAAAAAAGAACTGTTATCATAGGAGTTGTCAGTTATATAAAAAATTTTCTCATTAATTTTAAATCAGGGGTTGGAGCAACTGCGGTGGTCCACGGTGCCTTTTGCAAGCCAAGAAATGAAAAATGTGCCATCAAGAGGATCAACCTGGAGAAATGGAACACCTCTATGGACGAATTACTCAAAGAAATTCAAGCCATGAGCAGCTGCAACCACGAGAATGCGGTAACCTATTACACCAGCTTTGTAGTGAAAGAAGAACTTTGGCTGGTCTTGAAATTGCTAGAAGGTAAAGTTTTTCTTTTTTGAAATTAAAAAATATGTATGTCATTCTGTGTATTCGAAGAGAATTGGACGTAATTGAAAAAAATTAGGAAATGATTAGGTCATATGTGTTAGGAAGTAATTATACACTTTAACTAGTTAAAAATAAAAAAAAGCATTATTATGTCATGATTATTTTTGACATTTATGAATTTTTTTGGCTTAGTATATCCAGGTTGGGTAGTTTTTTCGATTATTATTAGTTTTTGGAGGGTAATTATTCATTTAATTACATCATTTTTACTTTGAACCAACTGTTTTAAGGGGACATATACAATATACAATTAGACGGAAGAAAGAGAGTCAATTTTGAGGAATTTTTTAAACCAAGAAATATTCATTCTACATTCATTGGACTGTTTTTTTTTGAATTCATTCATTGTCAAAATGGCGGAGCTGTGGTAGAGAGTCACAGCAAGGTTGTGGCGTGATTAACTCCCTGTGAAATTCGATTTGCAACAAAATTTTCTTATTTAAAACACTTGTAGTTTCCATGTGACATTGAGAAAACTGGAAAAAATGCAAATTTAAAAAAACGACATGCATTTAAAGACAAAAATCGAATTTTCTTGCGAAATTTCTGCAGAATTTGTATAAAAAATGTTTTTTTTTTCAAAATTTTTTTAAATCAATTTCTGTAATATAGAAGGTATTAACACTAATACCTAACATTATCAAAATTTCTTCCAAGAGGGAACTCAATCGGTTCAATAGTTTTTGTGTAATCGTGTACACCAGTTTCAGAAATGTATGTAGTTTTGAGAAAAACGCGTTTAAAGTTTCGACATGTGAAAAACCAATTTTAAGACCACTTATGTGTTAATCAACGACACCAGGCCCTTCAGTTTTCTCATAATTCGTCTCTCCTTGCTTTTCGGGCCATCTGGTCGACGAGTTTACTTGCCCGTGTGCGCTCTTGCTTTTACCTGCATGGACATGCACAACGTTTACAGGCTGTAACTTCCAGAGTTTTTCGATTTTTGCTTCCAAACATTCAGAATATATTCTTCACATATAGTTCTATCGTTTAAGAATATAAAAAAAATTGTTTTTTCTATTTGTTGTAATTGTATATGTCCCCTTAAGATTTATAAGGATTTAATTCATTTTATTGAAACAATAATGTTTTTCTACAGTTGCACTTGTTTTTATATTGATGGAAATATTTGTTCCAGTATCTAAAAGATAAAAAGTGTGACATTATAGTTTTGTTGCTTTTTACTGCACATAAACTTCCCTCAAGCCATCTAAATTGTTGTCTATACAATTGAATTTTTTGCTTCTTCATCAGGATATATATTTCGAAATATTTATGGGACAAATAAACATTTGAAGGTCATGTTTATTATGTTGTGATGTTTATAAAATATTTATTAGTATAAAAATAAACACTGTAGCAATAAGTGAATGAATGAAACGATTACAATATGATATTAATTTAGCAGCAATAACTTATCGAACTTCTAAAATATTTTTCCATATTCTGTGTTGATGAAGTAACATGTAGTAGGATTTGTGTTTATTTTAAGGTGGTAGTTTGTTGGACATAATAAAACACAAAATGAGGATATCGAATTGTAAACATGGGGTGTTTGATGAAGCCACGATTGCCACTGTCTTAAGGGAGGTACTGAAGGGCTTGGAATATTTTCACAGTAACGGACAGATCCACAGGTAAGAACGCTGTCGTTTTGTCCGCAATTTACAACTTAATTCTGCTAAGAATGCTCTAGGCAAACACATATAATTTGTAGGGATATAAAAGCAGGTAACATTCTTCTCGGCGAAGATGGAACAGTGCAAATCGCAGATTTCGGCGTGTCTGCCTGGTTGGCCACTGGTAGGGACATTTCTCGTGAGAAAGTCAGACACACGTTCGTGGGGACGCCCTGTTGGATGGCCCCCGAGGTCATGGAACAGGTACGAGCAGTATGTGTTCTTTTTCTATCTTAACATTTCCTTATACCGATGGGTATGTTGTGTTAACACTTTTAGACATTTTTTTCACTCGAGATGAAAAAATTATAAGCTGTAATTATTTTTTTTTTAAATATTGGTTCGTTATACCTATTTATTATTGATTTAATCATATTTTTATTTGTGTATTGATGCATAAAGTGGCATAATTAATCTGCGTCCTCTGTAATTGCGACCGTCACGTCTGGGTATTGACATAATGCCAATCATGAATATTTATTGGTGTAGTATTGGGTCTGATTCCATCTGGCCAATTTAAAATGCAAATTCTTAATCGCTCGTCTCGTTTTCCCAATTAAGACTTTCTTTATTTATACAGGCAGCGCAAATACCTTATTAAGAAATCATTGATAAATGCATTTGTCCTTTCAAGATATCTTTATCTGTCCCTGACAGTACTGATAAAGGTACACAGTCATAAAATAAACCCACAGCGTGGATTATAATTATCAGTATAATATCAGTTTTATGAGTTGTTTTATTTGTTATTTATAATTATTCTAATTGGGGGGGATATATTGATTGTATTTATGGATTTATTGTAATTTCAGAGAATCCACTTATCTTTTTATGATGCACAAGAATAAATAATTCATACTTACTATACATTTCAAATATATTGATCTCCCATTTTGAATGCGAAAGTTCTTAAATTATTATTTTTTTTTCATTCACAAACTAAACATAGTGCTTTAAAAAAATAGTAAATATTTTTACTTGTAATTTATGCTGAATGTGAAGGATCCATTGAATTAGCTTCACAAATGACTCTGAAAAGTGTTAATTCATATTTAAAATAATAACAGCTTGAATGTTTTGCTCCGATTACAAAATAAAATACTCCAAATTATTTGTAGGATCATGGTTACGATTTCAAGGCAGACATTTGGTCCTTCGGCATAACGGCGATAGAGATGGCCACGGGAACAGCCCCTTACCACAAATACCCACCCATGAAGGTACTTATGTTGACCCTACAGAATGATCCCCCAACTTTAGACACTGGAGCCGATGAAAAAGATCAATACAAGGTAAATAAGTCGTAACTTCAATCCGTGTTGTCTACATCGTGTTTTTTTTTAGGCATACGGAAAAACATTTAGGAAAATGATAACGGATTGTCTCCAGAAGGAACCTGCGAAAAGGCCTACCGCTGCGGAATTACTCAAGCACCCGTTCTTCAAAAAGGCGAAAGACAAGAAATACCTGCAGCAAACGTTGGTGGCCATCGGGCCCAGCTTGGAAACTAGAGTCCAGAAAGTGAGTTTCTTTAAGCTTTTATTTAAACGATAGTTTAACATCCCGTTTTATTCCGTAGGCATCTAAGAGACAGCCGGGTGCTTCTGGGCGCCTCCACAGGAAAGAAACGGGCGAGTGGGTGTGGTCGAGCGAGGACGAGGGGGACGGTGGGGATTCCAGCGAAAGCGACACAGATTCGAAACCTATGAATACTTTGGCATCGGTAGGATCTTCCGGGTCCGATCATGAGAGTAGTGAGGGAGATCCGCCACCCGTTAATTTGGTATTGAGGATGAGGTAAGATACCGAAAATTATAATTGTAATGCTGAGTTTTTTTGAACGTGTTTTTTATGTTTTACCTAGAGAGCCCCATCGACAGTTTCCTTCCTTGAGGTTTGTACCATTCCTTTCATTAATCCTTGTTTTCTTCCTCTAGCTTTTAGCGCAATCACTTTTTTTAGGCAGTACTTCAAATTACTACGATTTTTTAAAAGTTCTTTATTATTGCTTTTTTTTTAGTAGTTATATAGCGTAACTTATAATTTAAATGCTAATTTTTGTCAAAAATTCTGAGTATTTTTGTATTTCCGAGGACATAGACGAAAAGTAGTTCAAATGTATCAGACTCGATTTTCGAGTAAAATTGATTGGCGAAAACTAAACAAACAGAACAAAATAAATATTTTTCATTTTTAGTAGTTTTGTATCGTCGAGCAACTTATTCATTGTGAAACATTTTATTTTTATTAGTTTCATGTTTTTTATTACATTTTTTAACTCGTAACTCAGTCTTCTATTTTTTTAAGTACTCCACGTGTTTTGGTTTCCAAAATTTTCTGTTCAAATAATGTAATATACACGATAAACTTTGCATCAAAATTAATAGACAGTAAAAATAGACAACAATGATTACAATGCCGAGTTTTCGTCACAATATGCCTTTGTTATCTTATTTAGAGAGCCCTATTGTAAGTTTTCTTCCCCAAGGTGTGTACCATTTCCCATATAAATCCATTTTCTTCCTCCATCTTTTAGATTTTTTTTTAAAGTCAATATGTATTTCCAATGATATTTTTTTTTAAATAAAGTTAACTGACTGTTCGTAAATATTAAAGTGGTGTTATTTTGATAATAAAGCGTAGAACCCATGCCGTTTTTTAAGGAATAAGCTCACATACAGAACTTTCATGACGAAAAAATTCCAACGAAATTTAGAAAGTTAAAAATTGATATAGAGCTGGCCAACTCCGAGATCTTGAAAAGTCATACGTATCGTTAAATATTTTTTTCAGCCGTTTCTTATTTTTTGCAAAATTAATTTTTCATCATAATAATGCCTGTTTAAATTTCAATGATGTAGAGTGTACTAATTTCAATACTTTTTTGTAATTCCTGAGGAGATAGACAAAAAGTAGTTCAAATGTCTCTTGCGTATAGACTAGATTATAGTTTATATGTAAATTTTTGCAAAAGAATGATGTAGAGAGTGTACTAATTTCAATACTTTTTTGTAATTCTTGAGTAGACAAAAAGTAGTTCAAATGTCTCAAGCGTATAGACTATATTATAGTTTAAGTATACGTTAATTTTTGCAAAAAGTGTACTAATTTCAATACTTTCTGGGTTTTTTTTGTAATTCTTAAGATAGACAAAAAGTAGTTCAAATGTGTCAAGACTCAATTTTCAAGTAAAATTGATAAAAATTATAGCTCGATATTTCGTTTAAGGGATTTTTCATTTTTTGTCCTCTTTTTCATAATGTGGAATACTTTTTAATTTCGGAACATTTTTTATATTCATAATTTTTTGATTTCTGTTCTATATTTTAGTGTAGAATCCAATGGCAATATTTTTCCATAATTTTCGTTTCTTCAGTCATAACACGGATTTCTATTTTTTAAATCGAAAACTCTGTTTTTGGTTTTTGAAATATGCTTAGATTCTTTTTAAATGGCCTGTTATACTTAACATCAAAATTAACGTATCCCTAAAAATAAACTCCTATTTCAATTTTAAATTATAATTTTATTTCTCAGTAACGCTAAAATAAACGTCTTTGTTGAAATTTTAGTTTTCAGCATATACAGGGTAGTGTTAAGTTTCTCCTTTTAAAACTTATTAGTATTTTTTTTTGTAATTCAAATGTATAATACAATTCNTTTTATTACATTTTTTAACTCGTAACTCAGTCTTCTATTTTTTTAAGTACTCCACGTGTTTTGGTTTCCAAAATTTTCTGTTCAAATAATGTAATATACACGATAAACTTTGCATCAAAATTAATAGACAGTAAAAATAGACAATGATTATAATGCCGAGTTTTCGTCATAATATGCTTTTGTTATCTTACTTAGAGAGCCCTATCGTAAGTTTCCTTCCCCAAGGTGTGTACCATTTCCCATATAAATCCATTTTCTTCCTCCATCTTTTAGATTTTTTTAAAGTCAATATGTATTTCCAATGACTACATTTTTTTTTAATAAAGCTATCTGACTGCTCCTGAATATTAAAGTGATGCTATTTTGAAAATAAAGCTTAGAACCCATGCTGTTTTTTAAAGAAGGAGCTCATATACAGAACTTTCATGACGAAAAAATTCGAACGAAATTTAAAAAGTTAATATAGAGCTAGCCAACTCCGAGATATTGAAAAGAGTTTTACGTATTAATTTTTTTTTGGTTGTTTCTTATTTTTTGCAAAATTAATTTTTTGTCGTAGTAATGCCTGTTTAAATTTAAATTAGATACTACCCTTCCATTTTTCAAACTTTATAATATTGTATCAGAAAATACGTGTTGGTATCAGCTAATTATGAAAAATGATTATTTTGGAAATAAAAAAAAAGTGCAACCCTTTTCAAGATCTCAGAGTTGGCAACCCCTATTTTAATTCTTTATTTAGCAAAGTTCTTTTGAAATATTTTTATCACAAAAATTCTCTATGTGGGCCCAGAAGCATTCCCTAAAAACCAAAATGGGTCCTACAATTTATTAAGAAAATATGACCACTTTTTTTGAGCTGTTACTGATAAAGTTCTTTATTGGCAATATATTTCTTTTTCTGTAGTTATATGCCTATAGACTAAAATATAGTTTAAACGTTAATTTTTGCAAAAGAATGATGTAGAGAGTGTACTAATTTCAATACTTTTTTGTTTTTTTGTAATTCTCAAGGAGATAGACAAAAAGTAGTTCAAATGTCTCATGCCTATAGACTAGATTATAGTTTAAACGTTAATTTTTGCAAAAGAATGATGTACAGAGTGTACTAATTTCAATATTTTTTTTTTTTGGATTTTTTGTAATTCCTGAGATAGACAAAAGTAGTTCAAATGTCTCATGTGTATAGACTAGATTATAGTTTGTACGTTAATTTTTGCAAAAGAGTGATGTACAGAGTGTACTAATTTCAATACTTTTTGGGTTTTTTGTAATTCTTGAGATAGACAAAAAGTAGTTCAAATGTCTCATGCCTATAGACTAGATTATAGATGAAACGTTAATTTTTGCAAAAGAATGATGTACAGTGTACTAATTTCAATACTTTTTTGTTTTTTGCAATACCTCAAGAGATAGACAAAAAGTAGTTCAAATGTCTCAAGACTCGATTTTCGGGTAAAATTGATTGATGAAAACTAAAGCTCAATATTTCGTCTAAGGGATATGAGTATTTTTCATTTTTGTCCTCTTTTTCATAATGTGGAATACTTTTTAATTTCACCAATTTTTTATATTCGTAATTTCTTGCTTTCTGTTCATTTTGTGTACAATCCAGTGGCAATATTTTTCTATAACTTTTGTTTGTTGTCATAATACAGATTACTATTTTTTAAATTAAATGTGTTTTTGGTTTTTGAAATATGCTTAAAGATTCTTTTTAAATGGCCTGTTGTACTTAACATCAAAATTAACGTATTCCTAAAAATAAACTCGTATTTCAATTTTAGTTTTCAGCATATACAGGGTAGTGTTAAGTTTCTCCTTTTAAAACTTATTAGTATTTTTTTTTGTAATTCAAATGTATAATACAATTCACAGCATTTGTTACGATATATTAGATTTGTCTGTGGTAAAATTTTATCTAGGTCCCAAAAATAGAATGTTTCAGGTAAAACAGATTTGTTCACAATTAAAACGTCGGAAGCTAGAAAAATATCCGCCTGGATTCTATATAAAATATTTTCTTATTTTTTGTCTGTCCTTAGACAAAGTTTCAAATCAGTTACGAAGAAATTGTGTTTTCTAATTTTTACTGGGTGTTATGTAATGGGTAATTTGCAGGAACACGAGACGGGAACTTAACGATATCCGATTTGAGTTTGCGGTGGGCAAGGACTCGGCTGAAGGCATAGCTAGCGAGTTGGTGGGTGCAGGCCTAGTAGACGGCAGAGATATCACAGCAATAACACAAAACCTCCAGAAACTCATCGATCAGAGGGACACGATGAAAGTTGTAACTTTTCAGTTGGTAAGATGAAAATTGTAAAGTTCTTGCCATCTGTAATCAACTTACAATTCTTTTCAGAATTCTGCGTTAGGTAGTAACGAAACTCCCGACGATAAGGCCCTGATAGGTTACGCACAAATCTCTATAATGGACTGAAATAGACTGGATATTTACTCCCGATGCATACCAATATTCTCCTGGAATCTACTGATCATTGTACATATTGTAGATAGGTTTTATAAATGAATTAACGTTCCTCCAGTTTTGTTTCCCGGAAACTGCAGATCAGATCGTTTTTTATTTATTCTATTTTGGGCTTCTCGTCCGTCTGGATGGATTTTGATGTTAAAAATCGAGTAACAAAGCCAACTGATTATGTAAACCCCATCGAGGTTTTGTTAATATTTATTTTGCCGTTTCAGTCGCATTGTTATTTTTCTGAAGCATCTACAAAGTTTCTTTTTATGGAATTCTAGGTGGTTATAACGAGTACATAAAAACCATTTCTAAGGTTTGATTTGACAATAATCTTGCCTAAATTTGGTCTCAGTGAGATGTTTCTTTTCTATTACTAGCATTTTTGCTAGTTAATCGACAATGCAAAGGTATTTCGGAAAATACTCACCGAGATCAGTGCAGAATGTTTTAAAAAGTAGCAATCTTATCATGATCAATAGATTTCAAGCATTTGTACTTAAATAGTTCCACGGTACCAATTTACAAATTTTCATTGTAACAGTAATTTTATGTATTTAATCCTGTGTTGTATTTTTTGCTATATTTATTCCAGAAGTCGTTTTTGATCAATATTAAAGTCATAGTTTGTAAGTGATCGACAGAATGCCTTGTTAGATGAGATTGTAGCGTTTATTTAAAGTCTGTCGTGCTTGGCATCCTTAATATCAGAGGAATGTATTTATACGTAGGTCCCCGCCGGCCAGCCAATAAGTTGTAAGTGATCGATATTCAATAAAAATCAATATTATTTGTACATGGGATTGGTAAAATCTGTATATAGAATATTTATTTATTCCAATAACATAGTTGCAATATTAAACATGTGAAAAAGACCAGAAACAAGAGGTTTTATTTTCCCGTCCGTTAATTTATGCAGAATGTTCACCGCAATATATCTTTTATTTCTGTTACAACTAGTTTCATTGATCCGATGCGTTTGACCTACTATTTAAAAAAAATAAGTTTTCATAATTCATAAAAAATACTTTATTTTCTGTTACAGCGGTAATCACAGTTTACTTACAAAACTTCCGCCAAAAATGGCATTTTTTCGTCTAAACATAATTCTAACATTGAATAAACAAAAAAAAATAATCGGACAGATATAAAAAATCAACAGTATTGATATTTAAAAACCATCTGTCTGTCAATAACATAAACCTTACATGATTAGGGCTTGGGAGCCCCTGATGTATTTTTTAAAACGTCGAAATTTGCAGCAATCCTAGTTCTTCTCTGAGATTTGTTTCGGTTCTGTGAATTATTATGCCCCTGAAACAAAAGAAAATTATATACTGCACATATTCAATACAAGGCAAAATATTTTGCAAGTAGGTGTAACGAACAGTAGGTTTATATTTTAAACTCTGATAGCTGGAAAAATAATAAAGGTAAACAAGTAATTTATATCAGTGATTTTGAACCCTTATTTACTACACATATTCAATACAAGAGAAAATATTTTGCAAGTAGGTCTAATGAACAGTAGGTTTACATTTTAAAAGCTCTGATAGCTGGAAAAATAAAGGTAAACAAGTATTTTATATCAGAATGATTTTGAACCCTTATTTATTGCACATATTGAATACAAGACAAAATATTCTTCAAGTAGGTCTAATGAACAGGTTTACATTTTAAAAACTCCGATAGCTGGAAAAATAAAGGTAAATTTTATATCGGAGTGATTTTAAACCCTTATTTACTGTACATATTCAATACAAGACAAAATATTTTGCAAGTAGGTCTAATGAACAGTAGGTTTACATTTTAAAAACTCAGATAGCTGGAAAATAATAAAAGTAAACAAGTATTTTATATCAGTGATTTTGAACCCTTATTTACTGCACAATCATATTCAATACAAGACAAAATATTTTGCAAGTAGGTCTAATGAACAGTAGGTTTACATTTTAAAAGCTCTGATAGCTGGAAAAATAATAAAGGTAAACAAGTAGTATTTTATATCACTGATTTTGAACCCTTATTTACTGCACATATTCAATACAAGTCAAAATATTTTGCAAGCAGGTCTAATCAATAGTAGGTTTACATTTTAAAAGCTCTGATAGCTGGAAAAATAATAAAGGTAAAGAAGTATTTTATATCAGTGATTTTGAACCCTTATTTGAGACTACCGTTAAGGTTTTTTGACAACCATACAAATAACCTATAAGCAAACTTCAATAACATGAATGGGTCTATCAACAATATGTGATTTAAACTTCTAAGTAGGTTTAATATTATATTTCCAAAAATTCTGATAGAAAAGAAGAGATTAACAAATATTTATATTAGGGATTTAGAAACTCGGATTTGAGAATCCTGTCAACATTATTTGACAGCCATAAATGTAGATGCATCATACAAATAACAAGCTAACTTCAATAACATGATGGATTCATCTTAACGCAAGTGGTTGTTGTTATGCAACATATTTTACAAGTAGGTCCAATGTACAGTAGGTTTACTTTTAAAATTCCTGATAGTGATTTGATTAAGAACCGTTTGAATCATGCTTAAACTGCAAATTAATTTCCATCCGGAGTCTGGAAAAATGTATTAGAAAGTTTAAAAAAGCGGTATTTAAAAGATCTGCCTATCTAAGAATCATTTACAATTTAAATATAGCCTAAAATTTTAGGGTTAATGCAGTCTTCCCTAAGAAGTAACTTATACGAAACAAGATATTTCCCAAGTAGTTCCAATGAACAGTAGGCAAACAGTTTCGAAAGAATAATTTAATACATTTTTACTTTACCTTCGTGTTATATCTGTTATTCCTGTTAGAGACTTCCCGGCTCTCGTGCCTTTCTGTAGTATTTCCTCTCGGGGCCCCTTCGTTCATAGCCCCCTTGTTAGAAGCATTACTACTTCTGTTTATAGCCTTTACGGCCTGTAACGGGACAAACGAATTATTTAATACTGTACTCTTGGTGTTCCTCCAATTTGTACTTTCAGTTTTCTCGCTGCTTCCCGCAGTTCTAGACGAGTTTTCAACATACTAAAAATATAAAACGGCCGTGTGATGTATGCAAGTCTGATAAATCATGTAAGTCTTACCTGTTCGTTACGTTTATCAGTAGAAGTTTGGGGGGTAGTTTCAGTCAGTACAGCAGTTGTAGTTTTACCTCCCTTCAAGAATATGTTCAAAACGTCAGCTGCAACGTTCTCACTCGCCTCTTCGTTTGTCACCGCCGGCGCTCCAAGGACGTACTCGCCGTTTGACAAAGTGATCTTAGATCGGATCATGTCACCCTCTTTGAAATACTGATATCGGGGCAAGCCGAGACCGTTTGATTGGTAATACGTCAGCAAACGAACGCTCGCCGGCGCCTTTGCCGCTTCCTGGAAAAAAACATATTTTAAACTTTGTGATCCCGAGAAACTGCGAAAATAACTTACTGCGAACATATCGAACAGGGTGCTTTGAGCGTTTTTGTTTTCTTTTGTGGTGTCTTGACTAGTAGAGGCACGGTTTTGCTGAGGGTCGCTTTTATTTCTTTCGTCGGGTTTTGGGGGAAGTCTCATCTGATCGTCTTTGTCCTTTTCCTCTCTCTTTTTCCCGATTTTCAGGATAGTTCTCAATATGTCCACATTGACGGTTTGTCGCTAGAAAACGAAAAAAGCCTTTAGTAATAGAAAGTTTGAAAATAACAAAAACTTACGTTACTTTGCGTTTCTTTAACCGGGCTTGCTTCAGATTGGAATTGTTTCTACAAATAAAAAATGTAATATACAGGGTGAAAGATGAAAAAAAAATTTATGGTTACTTTTTTCTCGAAAACGGATGCTCCTAGTGATGTCAACTAACAATACGTTTTATTTGTAAAAGAGTTCAATATCAGAAATCAGATACTGTGAGGACCGAAAAAGTTGAGGTGTGCACTGCATGTCAAACGTAGAACCACATATAAAATGTAGCAAAATACTAATCAAATTTGAATTCTGCATCACGATAAACTCCCACAGTCTGAATTTGGTCCAAGGATCCCCTGTATATTCCCTCATACCTCATTCGTTACAAAACACCCCGTACCGCGGTAAAAGCCTAAAGTAAATCCTTACCTGCTGGCATTGTTCCCCCTGCGATATTTCCTGTTTACGACCCGGATTATTGAAGCTGGGCATGAAGTCGTTGCTCCTCAGGATGTTGCTGCCATTTTGGTACCTCTGCTTTTGGGGGCTGTAACTTTCCTGCGCCTGGCCGTAACTACCCGACTGTTTCGCCGGCTTGTTATTGTCGCCCTTATAATAGTCTTGGAAGGCTCTCGTTTGGTAATGGGGGCTCGAGTAAGATCTGTTGAACGCCGAGGCACTGTTGAACTGTGCGAATGCAGTGTTCTCGTTTTGGAACGGAGGTTGGACGGGAACGAACGGCTGGGAAGGTTGACTCTGCGCGGGGAACCAACGTTGTTGCTGCGGGTCGCTGTACTGTCGGTTAAATGTGTTGTTGGCGTTCCACTGAGAGGATTCTGCCTTGGCGATGATCTCCTCTGTGGATAAAAAAAATTAGATCAAGAAAGTTTGTTCAAAAAATTCAGTCGTGCCTGGTCTGCCGGTCTTCTCCACCATGACCCGTTGGCCGAATGATATGTTGATGAAAGCGGTGTTCGGCAGACGGTACCCTCTGCCTTCGGAGCAATTTAAACTTAAACCGTCAGGGAAAGGCTTGTCGAATACAACGTCGTACATCGTGTCTCTGTCGGAACCCGATGAGGAATTCTGTATGGCTATAACGGTGCCTTTGAGCCCTAAGGGAACGGAAAAACCGCTCCTCACATTTACTATTCTGTCCAGGACCTTCGTGATGGCCTTCGGATCAGGCGGTAATGTTCCGTTTTGTACTTCGGACTAAAAATTTTACGAAAACTCAAGTTAATCGGACACAAATTTAAGGATTTTATAAGTATTTACCCTGTACAAGAAATTTGGTTTGATCTGAATGTTCGTCGTTCTTCCGGTGACAGCTTTCTGAGATTCATCCACAATTTTTTCAATTTCGTTCACTTCTTCAAGTTCTAGAGAAGATCCGCCACAAGCCTGTCTCTCTATCGAATACGTCGGAAGTGATTTTAACCAATTCTGCAGCTCTTTCAATTTCTCCTCCCTAGTTTGTGATGAAAAAAATTTACATGAAATTTGTGGAAGGCAAAACTGAAATAAGGTTGACCGACCCCGAGACCAAAAGTAACCGACTTTTAACGAGTCATCACTGCGTTCAAGTATTCATATCATTTAAGATATTCGATATTCTGATATGGAGATATTCTCGACTGTACCATGCACATTTTTGTGACACCGAACTTACCACTCGTCCTTAAATATGCTCTCCACGCTAATGTCGTCGAACCTCTCGTCGTGGCTGAGGTAATCGATCACTTCCGGATATTTCTCAATATACTGCCTGACTAGATCTGCGGCCCGATCGGTGTACAGCCACGTGTTCTCTATTTTTTTCGTATAGCCGGGCGTCTCTTTATTCTTCTTGTTGAACTTCAGATCCAATCCGACGTTAACAGACTTCAGGCCGCCTTCTCCGTTTCGAGCGGTGATGAATACCGAGCCCGTTATTCTCGAAAATAAGAAATTGGAAATACCTGAAAATTTTTTGGTTGACATAAGTTAAATGAAGTTACTCGTTATTTGTTCTTAGGGTTGCGAAACGAGTGAATCACTTATCTATAAATGTTCAAAATTTGATGAAAATGAATGACTCGTATTTTGTAATTTTGAAATTATTTGCAATGATTCGAGATGATTATTCTTTTTATTGGCGTAAGAACTAAAGACGGTGAAGCATAGGGAAATAATTATTTATTTAAAAAGCGGAATTATTAAAAAAAATTTTTAAGACAAAAAAAAATTATATCATGAGAGCTAGATAGATAAACATGAAAAATAGTTTTACAATGAAGAAAAAAAAATAATCATTTTTTAAAACAAACATTATTTAATAAGTTTCAATAACAGTTCAATGAATCATGAACTGTAGAGTTTAGTTCTATGGCTATGTTCCGAAATTAGCTGAAAGTACTGTCAGCACGATTTTACATTCCGAAAATAAATTTTGCAAGCTTTACAGCAGCCTGCATCAGCGGAATAAACGTCAAAATACTACTATTTCTACATAACATTGACTGCTAAATCTGCTAAACCTCAAGAGGTAGTGTGATTGCAGTAGATTGGTGGGGGGATGACAGTATGATGTCTGAAGTCTGTTTGTAAACAAAACCAAACTACACATTAGACGAAGGTTCAATCAAAATGGCTATATTACGCATAATCGACGACATAATAAAGATGTACTACATTTTCCATGTAATTTTGAATTCTTGTTCTTGAATATTTACAATTAGTTTATTCTATCACATAAAAAATGTCTTCATTATCTTCACTATCATCTGTAGAATCTATATCTATAAACGATTTACAAAATAGCGCTATCGCAGTTGCAGTTCCCATTATAAAAAAAAGGTTAAAAATAGTCGACAAAATAAATGTAATTACTATATAACCTCACAATTCAAATTATTTAGCAAACTCTTGACAGAAGACCACAGTTGCTAGTTAACGTGCTAAACGTTGTTCCGATATTTGACGCAAAAATTGGAAATTTGATTTACGGAACGGCATGATATTGCAGTTTCTGCAATAGCGCTGATAGTAAAATTAGCAGATTACGGAACATAGCCTATGTATCACTATAGCAGCGGTATTCAAACTGTGTTCCGCACAACCTCTCTGGGGGTTCTGCGACTCAGTCAAAAATTTAAAATTTTATTATCGATAATTACAAAATTCAAAAAAATGTATACTCTTAAAACTTTTTATTTTTATAAGACCACGAGTATAAGTTCCTATAAGAGATTTACCTATTTATGCAACTGCAAGTAAGTCGGCTTATAACTTATAAGCTGGCGCAGCACTCTTCGCGTTGATTACCTTTCCCTTGAGTTTTGGCTAGAGATTCATAAGGAATACCCTGAAATTACTGACCAGGCAGTAAATGTATTAATGCCTTTTGTAACTACATACCTCTGCGAAAAATCATTTTCCACGTACATTGCGACAAAAACAAAATGCACTTAACGCAGAATTTGAAATGAAATTGCAACTTACGACAATAGCACCTGATTTTAATGTATTATGTAAAAATATTCAAGTACATCCCGGTCTTTGATTTTTACTTAGTGGAATATTTATTTTGTTAACCGTAGTACATATTTATAAATATATTAAATAAATCAGTAAAAAATGTGTTCGAAAATTATTTTTAGGTGTTCCTCAAAAAAATCGAAATGTTGGCGGGGTTCCGTAAGTCGTAAAAGTTTGAAGAACCGCTGTACTATAGGATAGTGTCAATGCATCAATGAATCACTACAGACTTTTATGAATGAGATAGGCAGAGTTTTTAAATTCACGGATGGAAAATGTGTATCCATTTAAATATACAGGGTGTTTCTGAAACTTAAGTGCGTTCCTTGAAAAGGCGATAGAGGGCATGAAAATAAGCTACTTTTATTAAACAATTAATGGTCTAAATGCTTCTGTTTTCGAGAAAATTAACCACAAATGTAAGCTGACCTTGTGCATCTTGTGCACGTGCGTTGTGTGTTGCGGTATTATTTAACCGGCGTATAAAATGTTTATTGATGTGATGCAAATCCTCACGTTGTATAGAGATCTTAGTTTTCTAGTGTGGTGTTTTTGGAGACAGAAATTTGACCGTCATTTGGAACCATATTTATTATTAACACATGGAAACAACTTTGAACGATTTTTGTATATATCATATCATAGCATATCTTCTATTGGTAAGTAATTCATGTATTCGTTTAACTTTTGTGTTACTTTTAAACGAGATTTGAATAAATTTCAGCATTTTCGAACACAAAATTTAAACCGTCACAACCGCTATCAGTGCTTTCGCTTTGCGGCCCGCAGCAGCTTCGATATCAAATGTACAGCAGGCTGCCGCACCAGAGATTTAAATATAGAAGAGTAAGAGCTATGTTTATATATAAATTCTGTAGGCGTCCCCATCACGACATTTCAAAGGGACTATTTTTTTCAAAATTAACATTAGCAGTAAAAAAAAACTAATAAGCAATTCTTTAACAACCTCTCAACCATGATTTTTCATAAATCTGTCATTCTTATGGAGATACAAAACTTTATCATTTGAACTTTCAACTATCTATATTTTTTTCTAAATTTTATCGAATATTTGCATTTTAGTTCATTATTGTAACCTATTGTATAAATAGCATTAATAATATATTATTAAATTCATTGAGTAATATTGGTTTTTCTTCTCTATGGGGCCTTCATAAATGATTTCAAGCCACGTGACCAGTAACCAGTTTATTTGGAACAGTAATTCTTTTTCCGTGACATTGGTAATTAAATTTCGGTTATAATATTCTGACTTTTACTCTATATGTATAGCTAATTCCCACCTCAAAAATTGAAATTTTGATTTTAAAATTTGTATTAGGACATTATTTGAGGTTTTAATCAAATTTGTTTCATAAAAATGTTGTGGAAAATAATAAATAATGGTACTTCTCTATTGAGTATTTTCGTGTTTTTATTTTTTTATTTATGAGCACCCTGTGTATCTGATCTAAGATGTTTGTATGACAGTCTCATTTTTTCGAGGGGCAGAACTTTTTATAAAGAGTGACATTTTTCGATAAAGACAAAAACAAAAGAGTTTCTCCTCTTGTCAACTCCATCCGTGGACACACTGTATATACATTGTTAATAAATTTTATTGTACTTAAATTCTCAAGTTTTTACTAAATTATTTTATTAAAAAAGTAAAAGAAATCAAAAAATCTTATTTTTTGCTTTCTTTAAAATTGTTTATTAACGATTTTTTGTATAAAATTTTCCTTTTGCATTTTTTAAATAAGCCATTTCGATGAAATTCAATTCTATACAAAATTTTTCCTATGAACTATACGGAAATTTTGCTTTGTTTTCGTGCTATATTTAAAAATCTGCAAAAGTGCATTTTCACCCCTATGTTCAATTTCAAACCTCTAATTTAATAGTACCCCTCGGTTTTTTCATTTTTAATGACCCTTTGAACAAGTCATGTGATGAAAATCCTTGAACGTCTTATTTCCTTCCTTTTTTGCAAAATATATGAGAATAAACGCGATGAAAATCGAAAAATTGGCTAATAAGGAGAAGGTAAGGTAGTCAGATTTTTGTAATTTTTGATATTTATGGTACGTGTAGTTTGGACCTTGAATAAGAATTTTTCGAAGTAGTTCGACACGGCGTTCATAAATTACCGAGATAATCGATTTTGAAGTTTTACCTGACAATTAAATCCACTAGATGTTGTGACGTTCCTACAAATCTACTCACCTAAGTATTACTTGTGTAAAAGCAGCGGCCTGCCAGCTACAGTGAAGACGGGCGGGGTGAATTAGGATAATTATTTGGAGCGCCACTTGGTTTANTTTACTAAATTATTTTATTAAAAAAGTAAAAAAAATCAAAAAATCTTATTTTTTTGCTTTCTTTAAAATTGTTTATTAAAGATTTTTTGTATAAAATTTTCCTTTTGCATTTTTTAAATAAGCCATTTCGATAAGAAATTCAATTCTATACAAAATTTTTCCTACGAACTATACTGAAATTTTGCTTCGTTTTCGTGCTACATTTAAAAATTTGCAAAAGTGCATTTTCACCCCTATGTTCAATTTCAACCCTCTAATTTAATAGTACCCCACGGTTTTTTCATTTTTAATGACCCCTTGAACAAGTTATGTGATGAAAATCCTTGACCGTCGTAATTCCTTCCTTTTTTCCAAAAAATGAGAATTAAATCGTATAAGGGTGAACGCGACGAAAATCGAAAAATTGGCTAAGTTTGAGAGGCCATATATCAGACAATTTTCATCAAAAAATACTTTACAACCTTTTATTTTGAAGGAAATTTTATCTACTTTTTTTTTTATGAAGCAATGCTATCTTTACTCAAAAAAAAACTAGAGGCAAAAAAGTAAAAAAAACAGAAAATCTAATTGTTTGTTTTTTTCATATCATTTATCAACGATTTTTTTGCATAAAAATTTTCCTTATAAATTTTTTAAATAAGCTATTTCGATGGGAAAATCAATTCTCTAAATAATTTTTCCTATGAACTATATCAAAATTTTGCTTCGTTTTCGAGCTATAATTAAAAAACTGCATTTTTACCCTTATCTCCAATTTCCACCCTCTAATTTAATAGCACTCCGCGGTTTTTTCATTTAAAATGACCCTTTGAACAATTCATGCAATAAAATTGCACCCTATTTAACCCTATTTTTTTTTTTTTGGATATAATCAATAGAGCCTAATAATAAAATCATCTCCTTTCAATTGTAAAATAAAAGTGGCAAAAATGTTCAGACTCACTTAATTGACTTGCCACGTGGTACAACGCCTTGTAGCTCCTCACCATCCTCGCGTGCATTTCTTTTATGCTCGACAGATCGGGCTCCTTAGTCACCGTAATACCAATTTTTACTCTGCCGTTCTTCAAAGCTTCTTTGCTGTCTTGTACCTAAGGTTAAAACGTTACGTTACAGCGTACAACGAAACATTAAAACGATTGTACTCACTATGCCCTGGGAACCGTAATACAGATTTGTAAGTATGAAGCAAGTGGAACCCAACGGGAAAACGTCGTGTATACTTCTGAAAGTCGAGTGGTAAGAATCGTAAGTGGAGATATCGGACACGATCGATTGCAAGGGATAATAGGCGATGTTTGGCGTGAAGACTTTCTCCAAATTTATCCTGCCGTTTTGAGAAAACGCGTATCTCCGACCGGTCATTACTTGTACGTGGACCAACACGTTCGTCTCGCCCACCTCTATGCCCATGCGGTTATGATAACTGAAATAGTCGTTTTTGAATTAAACTCGAGGAAGTGTCACATAGGTATGAAAAGAAAAGTGTACGGTTTAGAAATACAAACTCACTATTCTCTTATGCCTTGAACTTCGTCGTCGAAATCGTGCATTCCCGTCCTTGCTTCAACGTTGTAAGCGTTCGATTCGCCCATGCTTATATATTTCCACTTCTTGTTAGATATACAGGAAACCCTTGAAAACAAATAAAGATATGGAGCATAGTCATAAATTTTAATTCTTAAAATCTTAAATCAACTTTTTTAAATTACAAAAATCAAGGTTTTTAGAGAAAAACTTATAGGCTATTGATATTAGATGAAAAAAACCGTGGAGTGTTATTACATTAGAGGGTGGAAATTGGAGATAGCGGTGAAAATGCACCCCTTTCAGTTTTTTAATTGTAGCTCGAAAACGAAGCAAAATTTCACTATAGTTCATAGGAAAAATTCTTTAGAAAATTGAATTAATTTATTTAAAAAATTTTAAAGGAAAATTTGATGCAAATATGCAAACTTCAATTTTTTTATTTTTTTACTTTTTTGCCTCTTTTTTTTGAGTAAAGATAGGTATAGGCATTGCTTCGTAGAAAAAAAAAGTAGATAAAATTTCCTTTAAAATAAGAGGCTGTAAAGTATTTTTGGATGGGAATTGACTGATATATGACCGCTCAAACTTACAATTAGCCAATTTTTCGATTTTCGTCGCGTTTACTCTTATACGTTTTAATTCTCATTTTTTGAAAATAGGAAGGAAATAAGACGTCCAAGGATTTTCATCACATGACTTGTTAGAAGGGTCATTAAAAATCAAAAAACCGTGGGTTGATTAAATTAGAGGGTTGAAATTGCAGATAGGGGTGAAAATGCACTTTTGCAGTTTTTTAAATATAGCACGAAAACGAAGCAAAATTTCGGTATAATTCATAGGAAATATTTTGCAGAGAAGTGAATTTTTCATTGAAATGGCATATTTAAAAAATTTAAAAGAAAAAATTTATGAAAAAATTGTTAATAAACAATTTGAAAAAGAAGCAAAAAATAAGATTTTTTTGTTTTACTTACTTTTTTGACTGAAGTCCTGAAAATTTTTATTTATTATTAGCAAATAGAACTTTTGAAATAATTTTTTATTAAGTAACGAACCAATTTGTTGTAAAAATAATAAGAATTATAATCATTATTATGTTAAAAACGACAAAAATCTAAAAAATATTGAAGTTTGACCGGTTATAACTGTCAATATTAGTCCAAAAACTTTTAAAAACACCTCATTTTGACGGGAATCTCATCTAGTTTTTTTGTACAGCAATTTTCTTTGCCTACTTCTACTAAAAAAAAAAAATTAGTCAAAAAAGTAAAAAAAAAAATCTTATTTTTTGCCGTTTTTTAAAATTGTTAATTAACGATTTTTTGTATAAAATTTTTTCTTTTAAATTTTTTAAATAAGCCAAGTCGATGCGAAATTCAAATCTGTACAAAATTTTTCCTATGAATACCGAAATTTTGCTTCGTTTTCGTGCTATATTTAAAAAACTGTAAAAGTGCATTTTCACCCCTATCTTCAACTTCATTTTTTCATTTTTAATGACCCTTCGAACAAGTCATGTGATGAAAATCCTTGAACGTCTTATTTCCTTCGTTTTTTTGCAAAATATGAGAATTAAAACGTGTAAGGGTAAATGCGACGAAGATCGAAAAATTGGCTAATTGTAAGTTTGAGTAGCCATATATCAGGCAATTTTCAAAAACTAGAGGCAAAAACGTAAAAAAAATACAAAATTTAAGTTTTTGCTTTTTTTCAAATTGTTTATTAACGATTTTTTGCATAAAATTTTCCTTTAAATTTTTTTAAATAAGCCGTTTTGATGGGAAATTCAATTCTCTAAATAATTTTTCCTATGAATTATAGCGAAATTTTGCTTCGTTTTCGAACTACAATTAAAAAACTGAAAGAGGTGCATTTTCACCCCTATCTCCAATTTCCACCCTCTAATTTAATAGCACTCCGCGGTTTTTTCATCTAAAATGACCCTTTAAACGATTCATGAAAAAAAATTGCTTGAACGTCCTAGTTCCCTTTAACCCTGTTTTTTTGGATATAATCAATAGCCCATTAGACCAGAAATGAAATAATATAGTTTAAATTATAGACATACATTTTGAAAATAACATGTATTCCTCATTTTGTAAAAACAACGGATATAATAGCCCTTATGGAATTGAAAGAATTTATTTGTGGAATTTTCTAAATACTTAATTTTTTTTGGGGCATTTAAAAAAAATAAATTCCAATTAATCCGTGAAGCACAGGATTATTCATACTCAAAGAAAATAAAACATATCGTAAGTACATTTTCACAAATTACGTAGAAAAAACTAAAATAAACATAATAAATTGGAGCGGAGACATATTTGGCCAACCTCGATTTACGAATTAACATTAGCCGTTTGTTTTTTGCATGCCTAACACCCTGTTGTCATATAACATCAGATGTATTGATAATACGTAGCTCACCTAAACTCGGATGTCATTGAGATTCAAAACTAAACACAGTGCTTTAAAAAAACACTATACAAAAAATATACATGTCCCAAAGTAATACAAAAGAACGTTATTTTCTGTTACAGTTCACTCATTGTTACTCCGTTAGCTTCATACAGTTGATATAAAAACCGAAAATTTAAATTTTTTTTTAAAAATCATGATTTTCGTTAACCCTGAGAAGAGATACAATGTTTAATTTCAGTCAAAAAAAAAAAAATAAATAAATATCACTTACTTGGCTTCAACTAGGTGGGGCCACCCCACCCAAACGCAAGTGCCCAGTAGATCCACGGGTATCTTATCATCGGGAAATTTGTCGTTAATGATGCTAATGACCATATTTTCATTCCTACTCGGAGTTTCAAACACCCTTATCTTTGCCTTCTTCAGCTCGGCCTAAAAAAATTAAGGTATTTATACACATCAAAGTAAAAACCGCTCAATAAGACAAATTTCAGGACGTCTAGTCGACCCACCCTATATTTCAAGTGCTTCATCGTAGGGAAACCTGGATAATAAACGTTCATCCTCACTCCGGGATAGGCCCCCTTCACTAATTTCTCCTTAGGTATCAAAACTTCGTCATAATTTAAGCTGGAAATTTCCGCGTGGTTTTCCGTCAGAACGGGGAAGAATTCGGGAGCGGGATAGCGGCCTCTGTTCTCCGGTGTGTACTTGTATATCAGCATTGGGCCGTGCATGTTTCTCTTTTTCTCTTCCGGCGTTAGCTTGTCGTTGCACTCTCTCATGGCTTCCAACAAAACATTCTAAAAATAATATAATAAATAATGATTGTTTGTTACCCGGCATTTTAACATCATTAAGGTGCAAATTTTCCTAATGATAAGCTACTAGTAATCGAAAGATCTTACTGTAAACGTATTTATATTTTGCAACGTTACATAATTTTGTATTGTTCAAATGATTTATTAAAATATTGCAAATAATAATTTAAAACTCATTTAATCAACGCAAAAAGAATTATAAGATGCCTGCGTACGAGTAAAGTGGCGGTCTGGTTAGATTAAGTTCAATTGAACGCATTTAAACAAGGATTGATTTGGATATCATCCAAATTGTCCGTATGAATTGTTCCGAGGAATTAAATAGAAAATGAGAATACACATTACACATATTCGATTATTCGACATGTCTGCTTGCATTATTCTTCAGGTGACCAACAAGTTTTTTTTATGAATGACATTGCTTTTAAAAGTTATAAAATTCTAAAGAAAATATGTTCTGCTTCTATTATTTTTTCTTATTCAGTTAATTCAGCAACCGAACCAGTGCTAAACATCTTAAATTCATCCGAAATAAATAATAAAGGAAATGAAAACTGGCTATGATGCGAAGTCCAGTTCTGTATGCATATGTGACCAATAGTTTCGCAACAGCACATGTTTGATCATTCTGATATACACCAACTGACTTTACACCTGTTATGACATAACGAAGGATGGTAAACGAGTAAGAAATAAACTGCCAACGTTAACTCAGTGAAACGAGAATTGTTGGATATGTCGTCTCCGATTCATTTTGTTACAATTATTTTAGTCTTCAGTTGTAATTTTTATATACGGGGTGTAAGAAATTTGACTGCCATTACTTCAGCAATTTCAGTCGGCCTAATTAGTGAGATTTAGTTAAAATACCCATACGCATTTTTGTCTATATCAATGTCTTATCTGTCAAAATATATTACAACTAAATCTGTAAATCCTTACGTAATTGGAAAAAATGCTGAAATGCCTGCAAGAGGTCCAACAATTACAATATGTCTTATTTTCTTAATAAAAAACCTTCTTTTCGTTTTTTAATATTATCTCACTTATTGTTAGAAATGGACCCAACAAACCCTATATGGCTATGCTGGACAGGGAACGTTATATCCAAATATGTAAAAATATACAGGGTTTTCCATTTAACTTAACAAAGTTAACATCCGCGGCCGTTTTGTTTGGACTTCATTTGTTTTTCTATCATTTTCGAAAAATTCACAAAAAATCGTGCAACTTTTATATTTCACATTTTTTAATAACTCTTAAAACAAAAAAGTTAAACGAGGGGTCAAAATATAGTGAATCACCCTGTACAGCATGAGCATAAATAAAAAAAGGTTCATTACAAAAGTTATGGTAAATTTTACCCTCCTCCCCCCAGTGTTGGAAGGTATGTGATGAAAATCTGTAAATTTCGTTTTAGTAGCGGACTGAGCAGGTAAGAGTTAAGCTAGTTACCAAATTCCATAAATTTATCTTAACTTTTTTTCGGAGTTATTTAGAAAAAAATCTTCATCAGAGTGGCCCCTTTAAGTGGCTATAACTTCCTTAGGAAGAATTTTTGGACCCACGTTTATATAAAGAAAAAGAAATCTTTTTCGACATAAAACACCCTGTAGAAATATGGCCCCCGAATTACAATATATGCTCAAAATGTCCGCCACCATTTTCGATGCACGCACAACACCTTCGAATCCAATTTTTGCGCACTCGCTGGAAAACACCTCAAGAAAAGGAAATAATGGTACGCAAAAAACACTCCAACTCGGTCCAATTCCAGATACCAACTGAATTGCGTATTGCCGGACAATCCGCCGTGCCGTTGTTACATTGCTCCATATGAATTTTATTGAATTTTAAATTTATTACGCTAATTATTTTTTAGAATTAAGCATAAAGAAGTTAAAAAAAGTGATAAACATTGTATTTTATGGTATTCTATGCACTTCTGTCATTAAGTTGGATTTTGATAATTTTTTCTCAGAAATGGTCGAGTGTAGGACCCATGTCAAGGTTTTTTTGTTTATTTTAATGTATTCTATCGTCTGTTAAAAATTAAGACAGTCAAACTTCTAATGCCCTGTATACTTTAATAATAAATTCGTAAAAATAAATGTTTCATATAAAAATAACATCTTTCTGATTCAATTTCACTTCTTACCTCATCGATGAAAGGAACTAGGACCACCGCCTCCCATTCCTGCTTCTTACCGTTAAGATCGGTCTGGAAATCTTCCGGGTAGTACTTCTTTATCAGCGAATCCTCGTCCAGCATCAGACGATGGTAGCACTCGGGTAATAAATTTCTGCTAGCCGACGGGAGCACTGCCAGCAGCTGAAATAGTGAATATAAAACAGGGTGCAATGCAAAAATTCCAACTCACTTGTTCGTAAGGCAAAAAAGGTGTGCCCAGATCAAATTCAATTTTCAAATTTGAAAAACCCTTGATGTCCGATATGTATGGAGCATAATGGTGAGGGTAATACCAGGACCACGAACAGCAACCGTTATAGTAATAGTTGAGATTCCACTGGATGGCTCGTACGTAGCCTTCGGCTTGGTCTCGCAATACTTCCCTGGAAAATAATTAACAAGGACCTTTGTTTTTATATCTATACAGGCTGTTACAAAAAATTAAGACTAACATAATTAGTTTTCGAAATATTTGAGAAAAACCGAAATTTTGGAAATCCGTTTTTGTTTCATTTTAGCCTTGTTTGAGGTGATATTGAAAAAAGAAGAACACTTTCTCGTGGCTGCTTTTTACCCTCTATCGAATGGCATAATTAATTTTTATATGTAACGTTTCGTCTCTCCAGGACCATCATCAACTTCATTTTTTTAAATACGACCCTAGAACATTTTTACATATTACATTTTTTGCAATTCTTCATGATCCCCAATACTGTACTGCCTCAGCCCGAACCAGATTCAGGCGGTTTGTCTCAAAATATTCATCTCCAGTGTATTCGTTCCAAATTTATCTAAATTTTTTATTTAGATTTCTTTGTTTATTGAATTATCGTACACTGTAAGTGTCGTTAGACCCTGTGAAATCCATCTAGTTATTTAAACTATTACCACCACGCGCTACAATAGAACATTTATTATTATTAACTTGGTCATACATAACTCAATATGTTGTTGCGTCAAACTTAAAATATTGTTACAATTTTAATTTTATTATGACAAATTAATTATTTAAAATGCATATGAACAACCAAAACGCCAACTGAATATTATTCTTTAAAAAATTTCAGTAAATGTTCAACATTTTTGTTTTGGCAAATGTTGAAAATGAAGATCAGCGTAATATTATCGGAATTTATTATATCTGTAACTGCAACTGTGAAAGAGCATGTCAAATGTATTTGTATGTATCCTGAAAAAAATAGAAATATAATATAAATTTGTATGAATTTTGAGCACTTGAGAAGCCTAGAAATAACTATGGACACGGGAATAAAATTAATAATTTTTTATTTTAATGCGTGGTGGTAATAGTTTAAATAACTAGATGGAATTAACAGGGTCTAACAACACTTACAGTGTACAATAATTCAATAAACAAATCTAAATAAAAAATTTAGATAAATTTGGAATGAATACAATGAAGATAAATTTTTCGAGACAAAACATCTGAATCTGGTTCGGGCTGAGGCAGTACAGTATTGAGGATTGTGAAGGCTTGCAAAAAATGTAATAAAATTTCTAAGGTCGTATTTAAAGAAATGGAGTTGACGATAGTCCTGGAGAGACAAAATGTTAAATATAAAAATTGATTATACCATTCGATAGAGGGCAAAAAGTGGCCATGAGAAAGTATTCTTCTTGTTTCAATATCGCCTCAAACAAGGCTGAAATGAAACAGACGGATTTCTAAAATTTAGTTTTTTTTTAAATATTTCGAAAACTAAACATGTTAGCTTTGACTTTTTAGAGGCATAATGTTGGTCTCCTGATTACGCAACTTTGCCCCCATTTAAGCTAGTTTGTATCTCTTACCGTTTTTGAGAGATCCCTGTAGTGAGAAGCGAATTTGTAATAGCCTGTATAGTTAGAAAACCAGTGAAATTTAGGAACGGAATTATAATAAATGATGACTATCTCATAAAATCCCAAAATATGCATTTTGGAAATCGTATCTCCTGAATGGAGCAAATTGGCATATTGCCACTTGGCTAAAAGATAGCTTAGGTGGTACTGAAAAACATTTCCAAATTTGGTGAAAATAAAAGGTGGGGTTTTTGAGAAAATCAATTTTGAAAAAAATTTATTTTTTTCGTTTTTCTCATTTATCTCACAAAGTTTTAAAGCAATCTGAATTCTGAAAAAAAACAGGTATAAGCTGATAAAATTCCGTACATTTTGAAAAAAAAGAACGTTCCACAGGATGACTTGGTTCAAAATGACGACCACTTGAAATAAATATGCAATTCGGAAATCGTATCTCTTGAATGCAGCAAGTTGGCATATTGCCGTTTGGCTAAAAGATAGTTTATTTGGCACTGAAAAACATATCCAAATTTGGTGAAAATAAAAGGTGGGGTTTTTGAGAAAATCAATTTTGAAAAAAATTTCTTTTCTCCGTTTTTCTCATTTATCTCACAAAGTTTTAAAGCAATCTGAATTCTGAAAAAAAAACAGGTAAAAGCTGATAAAATTCCGTACATTTTGAAAAAAAAAAAAAAACCTTCCACAGGATGATTTGGTTCAAAATGACGACCACTTCAAATAAATATGCATTTTGGAAATTGTATCTCTTGAATGCAGCAAGTTGGCATATTGCCGTTTGGCTAAAAGATAGCTTATTTGGCATTGAAAAACATATCCAAATTTGGTGAAAATAAAAAGTGGGGTTTTTGAGAAAATCAATTTAAAAAAAACTTTTTTCTGTTTTTCTCATTTATCTCGGAAAGTTTTAAAGCAATTTGAATTCTAAAAAACAGGTAAAAGCTGATTTAGGTCAAAATGACGACCACTTGAAAAGAATATGCTCTTTCATTTTTGCTGTCACGATGTAAATTTTGACCTGGCACCACAGAGCTCTAAAAATTTTTTGGGATAACACAAAAAAACAAGGTTCTCATAAAATTAAAAGTAGATTAACATCCAGTTTTAAAAAAATCGAAGAGATAGAAACTACAATATGCATTTTTACATATCAACTTAAAGCTTTAAATTACGTAACGCTTCTTAGTCCACAAAGTGTCTACTAGCACCTTTATAACAGTCTATTTTGCTATTTCCATAACAGGATACACAACACCACATTATTTTAAGACAGATCAACTTGTATATTTAAAAATAATATGTAAACAGAACGGCACATCTCAACATTTAACAATTATGGCATAATCACAAAATATATGATTTAAACAATTTATACATTTGATAAAAGTCTTGTAGTTTGCTGCCACAGGTGGCGAGCTACTGAAATAATACCACGGAACAGATTAGAAATTACACGGATGCCCTTATTTAGCAATCCATGGTGTAACTATGTAGTACTTACGGTGTAACATTTGCGTATTCCAATTTGTTCATGTAGTAATCCTTTTTAAAATTCTCAAAAGCATCGTCTTCGTCCGAGTGTTCGGTTTCTTCCTCCCACGTATCTAAGAGCTACAAAAAACAGTAAGTATAAATTTTAAGTAAGTTTACTCACAACTCTCAACATACTAAACTGTTAGTTTCATTTATTAATGCAAGCATTCCACTATCTCTTGGTTTTTCGGGCTCCAGAGGTTCTAAAGTTATTTCCTTATCATCCGATGCCCATTGCTCAAGGTTCTTTGTCTAAACAAAATGAATTTTTACTGCTTTTATATTCAAAATGATAATAAGCTTACCGAGACTTTGGGATGAGCATTCCACTTCCTGCCCGTTTTCGTTTCCATGTAGAAGAGATCCTCTCTGATCTCTTCAAAGTTCTCAATGTCTATACTGCCCAGTTTCTCCATAAATTTCTCGAACCTGGCCAAATTTAAAGAGCCAGCTTCGTTTATGTAACCTAAAAAAAAATGTGATACTATATCTTAATGTTTTGAAATCAAATCGTTTTACCATCTAAGCTGGGCAATACATCTATATAAGCCTTGTATAATATGGGCAAAGCACCATTGGCTATGTGTAAGTTGGGTAAATGAGGTATGAAATCATTACCCACCAAGAATCCCATCAGGACCTAAAATTTATTCAAGGAAACACTACACAAGTACATTTTTCAAACTGAACTTACCCAGTCATCAATAATTTTCTCAAAATCATACTGGAACCCCTGAAGTTTATTTTTTAAGGGAGCAAATTCTAGTTCCAAGTACTCCCTCATTAGAGACAAATGTAGCAAATAAAATGTGATCTCCTCAGGGACATTGGCTCTTTTTGTGGATTTTTTGCCAAATTTCACCTAAAAATTTGATTTTACCTCTCTGCAATGTAATTGAAGCATACCTACCTCTTCACGTAACAAACTAAAGTGTGGTTCATGAGTGCACAACCCCAACATAATAAGATCCGCGTCTAAGCCATAAAGGCAATGTCTTGTGTTTGGATCATAACCAGGTTGGGCCCTCATGTATCGGATATAGTCCATGATTTTATGTTCCCCTTCACCGGGTGTCTACAAAACATCAAATAATTTTAGTGTTGTGCAATCTTTTAGGTTAAAGTATTCACCTCATGCCCAGACAATATAACTTTACATTTCTGCCAAGTCGGATCACTTGATATCTTATTAACTACAAAATACTTTAACTGTTCGTGCAGTCTGGCCATGAAGACTGTTCCAGGAGTGATACAATTTGAGTCAAATCGTGCCACATCTGGTAATTTCTCTCCTTTCTTTAAAGCATCGGCCTCTTGTTTTTCAGAATCTTTAGCAGTTCTAAATCTTCGTCCTCTTTGTTGATTCATCTTAGCTCTAGGAGCTACACCATCCACAGCCATAAAAAATAGCTTTTGTGGACGTATCATACGAAAAAGCACTTCGATGTAGTGGAAGATGTCTTTAAATATCCTTTCTTCTGTGATACGAAAATGTGGATTGTTATCGTCTGGATGTGAGCACATGTGGACGATTCCATTCATATCCAAATACAAGTTATCAAACTCTGGAATCTGGGAAGATATTGTTGTATAATTGGCCTAAATATGGTTAAGAATAATTTTCTTTTTTTACCTGATATTCCTTTACCAATTCGCTTAAACATGGGTATCTTTCGCTAATATAGCGAAAAAATTTGGGGACTCCCATTTTAAATTTATTTCTTCAACTATATATAGAAAAATCTGTTATTTTAAAAATAGGATAAACACAAATTATATATTTTTATAGCCAGACCAGAAGTGCCAGAACTCAGCTCACTCAGCAGTAATTAGTAACTAGCCAATTTTTCACGAACCTCCAATGGTATGATTCTAACATGTTTTGCGTCGTAAGTTAAAAAGTATAATAATTAAAAATAAAACACTAAAAAAGTTCCTTTTCAAAACTTATTCATGATAAACTTTTTCTAATTGCATTCTATTAATAGATCCTAGTCGTTTGTGGTCGTGACTAACAAATCATTTTATGAAAAAAATATTCGCATTTAAAGAGCTATTCGTAAAAAATGGCATTTGCTTTAGCATTTATGGTGACATTTGGCCGGTTGTCAACAAAAATGCTTGTTGTTACTGATAAAACTTTGTAAAGACTACTAAGTACTTGTGATAATTATTAGTACTACATTGAAAATGGTTGTAAATAATATAGATAAATTGGCAGAGGATTTAGAGCGACAGGAATTAGAGGTACCACTATTTTTAAAATTCATAACCTACAAATTAATGATTCAATTTTAGGCTTCAACTGGTGTCGCGCCCCCTCAAGTTTATGAACAACTACTAGCGATTTATTTATATCAGAATGATCTGTAAGTATTTCATTTCCGCAATAACCAATATCTTAAAAGAATAATTTGAAGGTGTAACGCCAAGTACCTATGGAAGCGTATACCTCAAAGCATAAAAGCTTCTACTCCAGAGTTAGCAAATATTTGGGCTGTTGGTCAGCATATGTGGAAAAGAGATTTTCCTGCTATTTATAAAGCTTTAAATTCTGTTACCTGGTCCGATACCGTGGCACATATTATGAAACAGGTCCAAGGTTTGTAATGTTTTAAAAACTGTAGTTATTAAAAAGTTTGTGGTAATTTGAAAACTTTATTTTAGATGTGATCCGTAGTAGAGCAGTAGACCTTATATCGCAAGCATATTCGTCGATAACTCTAGACACTGTATCCGCGATGACTGGATTGACACCCGACGTTTGTATCCCGGCTTGTGCCGAGAGAGGCTGGTCGGTGGAATCAGATACTCGTATAGTTCATCCTGTTAGACAAAACATTGAACACATAGGTCAGACTAGTAGCGAAGACCAATTGTATAAATTGACGGACTTTGTATCATTTCTGGAAAATTAAGTTATTTCTTGTATAAATTTAAGTAATAATAAGTATATTTAATAAAATATTTCTGTAAAGTTCATTTTTTGTATTAAGTGTGTATAAACCTATTTAATGACAATTATTATTAACTTAGGTTATTCAAGGAAGCGACCGAGATTGATTTGTGACGTCATCATAGGATGATTAACGTGTTGGAAAAAACTATTTATTCACTGATGTTTACGCGTTTTTTTTCCCAAATAGAATAGATTAAATACCGCCCCTTGGGTGCGGGCAATATTATTTCTCATGAGCTGACCATAAAATCCAATTTAAACTGATAAATTTTATGAAAGTATTATAATTTACATATTAACTACTAAATTTGATTCATTTTTCTAAAATTTTATGCATGCACTTATTGTAAACCCCGCCCAATAAAGGAGGAGTTTATGTCTATGCTCTTCCTCTAGCGCCTATTGTAGTGCATAAATTAATTTAATATAATAACAAAAAAGTTAGGTTATATACACTTTGACATTGCCAAATCAATTTTTTTATTTCATCATTATTCACCGAAATTTATGATCTGTGACTGAAACCGAAGTCTTAACAAAAATTGAAAATGGTATGCATTCTTTTAGTTTTAAGTATTATGATTAATGTTTATATTTTTTATATTAGCACGGTAGGTTAAAAATTCGCACAACTGAAGAGCAGAGAGCTCAAAGACGAAAAGAGCAGCAGAAAAAATTGGCTGCTTATCGCATGGGTATAAAACAGATTTTGTCTACTAGAAAGGCTGATGAATACGATTCTACTAGTTTGAGTATATGTTCACAATTACTGAGCGTTAATCCTGACATTTACACATTGTGGAATTACAGAAAAGAAGTTACTTTAATAATAATCAAACACAGGTATTATAAGTAAATTTTATTATAATCATTAAAGTTGCGTTTAATTATTGTGTTTTGTAGCCATTTGGATGAAATTGATGGTGAAGACGACTTGATAGAGTTCCTTGAAAATGAAATTAGGCTTACCGAACAATGCCTTTTGGCAAATCCCAAGTCTTACGGTTCGTGGCACCATCGTTACTGGGTGTTAATGAAACACCCAATTCCAAACTGGGAGAATGAATTTAGTTTATGTACAAAGTATTTGAAGTTGGATGACAGGAATTGTAAGTTATGGTGGTAGTTTTATGATTTAAATACACATGTTTCTTCTAGTTCATGTTTGGGATTATAGAAGGTTGATTATAAATAAGATTGGAATTACGCTGACCGATGAACTAGAGTTTTCAACAGATAGACTCAACGTTAACTTTTCTAATTATTCTTCGTGGCATTATAGAAGTACGTTAAGGAATTTGGATCAAGAAAGTGCCGGCACTGAGTTAACTTTAGTCCAAAATGCAGTATTCACGGATCCGGCAGATAGTAGCGCCTGGTTTTATTTGCGCTGGGTTTTGAGTAACCCTGCAGTAACAAAGGATAGAAGACAGGAGCTTTTAGAGGCTTTGGAGCAGCTGGAGGAACTAGAACCTGACTGCAAATGTAAGAAACCATGTTCTACTGAATTGAATTGAACTTTTGTCGAATATTATGTGTTTTTAGGGGTGTTAATGGCCAAATGCTGGCTAACGGGTAGCTTAGTCCTTAGTGATAAGGATTATATCGATCGTCGGGTCCAGTTTTATAAGCAGTTGGTGAAATTAGATCCTTTGAGGAGGGGACAGTATGAGGATTATTTGAAAACTGCTGAAGAGAAATTAGGCACCACTTCATTAAGATCCAAATAAATGTTGCATTCCTATTGGTATTTAACTTTATCATGTCTAAGTCAACACATTAAAGTAATTTGTATTTTTCTTAATGTTAAAATAAATGTTGAATAAGTGTAAAATTTAAATAATTATAAGTGTTTAATAAAATATATGTGTGGAGCTGACTTGTTGAAGAAATCAACCAGAATTGATGTTTGACGTCATTATTATAGGTTCGACATGTACAAGTACTGATAACGAATGACGTGTTGAAAAATGGCCTGGTGACTTACGTTTCTGACTTCTGTCAATTTTAATAACAAGAAAGTTAGGTTAGAAATACTTTGACATTTATTATTATTGTTTTCTAATCTTACAATTAATTTAATTTTCATTAATTGCTCAAATGCTCACTGTATATTGTGTTTAAATGTTTTAAATTATCATGGTAAGTTCAAAGTTTGCACAACCAAGGAGCAGAAAGCTCAAAAATAGAACAGCAGAGGAAATTGACCACTTATTGAATGGGTATGAAACAGATTTTATCCACTGAAAAGCTGGTAAATATGACCCTACTAGCTTGTTAATGTTCATGATTATTAAGTATCAATTTACAAATTAAATTGCAGATAAGATGTCATTCTAATAAGGATCAGACAAATGTATTATAAATGTGACTAGAAAATTACGTCCTAATTGGAGTGACTGGCAGAGTTAAATGTAAAATCGCATTTTACAATTGAATATTTGTTAATATTGTTTAATATGGATTACATTAATCGTCAGATCCAATATTAAACGGTGAGATTAAATCGATTATGGAAAGTGCAAAAAAGAAACAGTTCTTCATAATGATCCAAATAAATGTTAACATTCCTAGGGGTAATTAAATATTATGTTTAAATCAACACTTTATATAATACTTTCAAACTTTTATTTTTAAAATAAATGATTTTGCTTAAATATTATAACAATTTAAGAATCATTGGTTTGGTCTTCTTTTTTGCAGCTCCATTTGGATTTTTTGTTCCACTTTTTCAACATCTATCTGTACCTAAAAGAGAATTCTATTCAGAATGACCAAAGTTAACATTTTAAAAATTATAAATCGTACGTTTTCCTTCAAAGTATTAAACTTATTGTTGTTTTCTGTCTTTCCCAAGTTATCTAAATATTTCTGCCTTAAGTATAAAACAGTGTCTATATGAGTTTTGTGCTTTATAGCCAAGTCTAAAGCCCTGAAATGAACATTTGATTAATCAAATCTTAAAAACTTGTAGTACTATAAATGTTTATAATTTTTTAAACGAATAAAAACAAAGGTACTAAATACCTTGTCCAGTTATGTAAGTTGACATTATTATAAATTGCTTGAAACACCATTCCATTATGAAGTAATACCGATTCGGCTTCTTGTAGCCGTCCACCTAGCAGTGCCATGTGAGCTTTTTGTTCTGCCTTTGTTGGTAAAGTCTAAAAAAATATACGCAATAATTTTTTTAAGTCCTGCACAAGAATTTACCGGGTTACAATTATTTACCTTAACATATTGCAAATAGAATACTTTCTCGTGGTGGTTGATGTTAGCGTACGCCTCCTCCGCAATATCAATAGTATCAGAATTGGTTTGAGTTGCCAGTACGGCAAGACAAGCCCATGCCGTTTCGCTGTTTATCGTGCGACATAAATTGAGAGCGTCAGACCACTTGTTGTCCTGCACATACCTAAAAATAGAATTGTAAAAATGCTCAGTAACAAGTCTAGTGAGCTATGAATTTGCAAACAATAAAACAATTTCATTTGTTCTATATAAACCGTGATATTCCCCAACTTACTTATGTATCAGATTCGGGAAAGGTGAAATCGGCACGTTTAGTAACGATCCATCCGCCCTTCTTATCGACACTGAATTGCCTATGAAGTCGCTTATTCTGGGACTACGGCCTAATTCGGGAGAGTCATATTGCAGCGAACAAAGTTTTAGTAACTTTGCATTAAACGAGGCAGTAGGACAGTACCACACTATCAACTGCGCATCCTGGATGGCTGCTATGGTGTTATCGTTGGCGTTCCATTGAAACGATTCGATTTTTCTACCTAGAATGTTTGATTTCATATGCTTTGAGATAATTCTCTTAAACAGTTTTATATTAATAATCATTTTTAACTAATGATATTGAGGGTTGCGAGCGCGGGCAAAAGAAAATGATCACAGTTGCATTGGGCTACTGGGCAATAAATCACAGCAGATGACGAGTGGTTGATAAATTGCCCAGCAGTGCAGTGCAGCAATGCGGAATTTGGTGTGATTCAGTTAATTTTAATTTATTATAGGCACCTATCAATCATTCATATTACAATTGCGAAAGGGAGAAATAAGAGGGATATTTTGTTTACTAATATCACAACATGGCATTTTGGAGACCTTTTGAAACGGAGCAAAACAAAATTTACCACCAATATAATAAAATTGTTTGAGGACATAAATAATTAAAATGTTCTTGGCCAAATGCACATATAATAGAAATTTTCTACACATTATATACAAATTATTATAATTTTTTACCTTTAGCAGAAAATTTTTTTAGGGACGCCTACGAGTCTCATTAAATTTTATTACCAGACGTTTTTTTGCATGTTCAACTAACTTCGGAAAAACTATACAAAGTAGTGCTTTGTGTAGGCACTGAGGAGCGATGCAACATTCAAAAAATATGTCATTCTTTGTAGGTCATATTGTGGTTATATCTCACCCATACTAATAATCATACCTTACCTAACTTAGAGAATGTTTTATTGGAACTCTTCACTTGGACTATGTATAAATCCCTAGCCTTGTCCAAGATGGCTAAACTTCTTGAAGACGAATCGCCCCATTGGTCTAGAGCAACCTGGATGATGTGCATGGAGTACTGGATTGTGGTTGCTTCGGAGGCACTTCTAGTGTTTGATAAATCGATTATGTGGACAGCTAAAAAGTTAAATTAACCGATATCGCTTGGAGAAAAACTTAAAGCTGACACTTACTTTTCATATCACTTGTATCTCTTACAGCTAAAGTGTCGGGCGATAGAGAGAGATGTGAACCTCTCAGATAATCTAGACGCATGTTTGGCCAACGAGGCGAAGCTACGAGCCTGCCCTGATAGTTGTAGATACCTACAGTACCCTTTTCAACTAGCAACATGTGCCTGAAGCCGAGAAAGAGAAACAATACTAGATCAGTTCTGCATTGAAAGCTTTCTACGAACTTACTTCTCACTTAACAGAAGAATAATCACAGATCCGTCCTTTAAATCGAAGATAGCCGGGGTGTTCCAATTGTTCGTGTTGTATATGTAGCACTGTGTGGGGGTGGTGATCACCAGGTGGTCGTACCGCAGGGCTAACTGGATGATCCTCTCGGGCAGCTCTAGGTGCTCTTTAGTTTCATCTAGTACGTTGCGCACTGTAACCACTTTCCTCTCACTGACGGATGCTGTGAAGTTGGCATAGGTCACATCCCGCTCCACTACGTGAGCGAAGAGCACCTGCCCGTTGGCACAAGCGCCTGCTAGTTGGGTGCCATCACCGGACCAAGCTAGTTTGTATATGCAGCCGGTGTTGGGCTTCTCTAGTGATCTGGACCACTAGGAATATGTATTATAGAGAGAAATCGAACAGAAATGTGTGCTGTAAGATCGTAGAAATTGTAAACTTACACCGGAATAGTCGCATAGACGCAGGGTGTTATAAGAGCCCACGGCGAAGAGATCGCCAGCCGGCGCCCAGGCTATGGACGTGATGTGGTTGTCGTGGAGGGTGCTAGAGAACATTTGGCGACCGTGGCAGTCCCACACCCTGTACTTGCAGTCTTCGCCGCCGGAGACGATGAGGTCGGACGCGACGCTCCAAGCGAGGCACAAGACGATGCCTTCGTGAGCCTTCCACTGGAAAAAATACAATTTACAACGATTTTCTATGTGTAAATTAGAACCTCTCTAATAACTAAGCCATTTTTTTATAGAAATACTCGACAATATNTAAACAAAGTTTATTATTTATGCATTAAATATAGTGTATATTTTATCCTACGCTATTGCAATTTTTCAATGAAAAAATTTGTTTACGTATATATTTCAACACTGAATATGAATACATTTAGTTATAATTATTACAATTATTTAAATAATTTTTGTTTAAACAAATTAAAAAAAAATAATTTTTTTGTTAAATACAGATAAAATTAAGAAAAAATAGTACTTTAAAATTATAATTTTTGAAAAAACTAAATTGCAAATTGATAAATGTAATCTAATTGTTTAAAAATGAATAGAAAATAGTGTTAACTAAAAATTTACTGTGGTTCTTCTAATCAACCGATTTAAATTTTTCAAAAACCATTTGAAAGGTTGAGCGGTCTTCTATGTGAAAAAATGTTCAATTATCTAAATGCTTTATTTGAGGCTGTGCAACATTTTGAAAATTCGAACATTTCTTTTTCAAAAAACTATTTTGCGAAAACTATAGAACCGATGTTAATGAAATTTGGTGTGTTGTTTTATTAGATATACATTAAAGTATTTTTTTTACCAAAATTAGAATCCCCTCGGCGTATATAAAATATTTAAAAAAATTTATCCAAGAAACTTGATTATTTTGCCTTTTTTTCATCAATTATTTCTATTTTGCAACATCGGTAATAAGTTTAAACATTTTTAACTTACAGTATATTGTGCAAAATTCAATTCTAAAACTTTTTTCTATTCAATATTCTTCCAAAATTCATAGATTCCAAGAAATAAGTAAACAACTCAGATAAAATAGATTAAAATTTTTTAAACATTTTTGCAATTTTGAAAATGTTCCGGGCCTCGCCCAGATCTAGGGATCTACACTTTTATTATGTGAGTTGCACTGAAAGTAATCCAGTAAAAATTTGCTTGTCCCCTCTCACATCCATCTCAAAACATTTGTGTAGATATATTTTTATTCTGGCATTCATGTTTATCATGATTTGGATTGAATACATTCTAAAATGATAAGTTATATTTGCATACAGATACGAATACATAACCACANCAATTGTGTATCAGTAAAGCGACTTGACACTCTGTCAAGGTCAACACAGATTGGATGTTGATAGATAAGTGATCACGCATGCGTGTGGATCCACGCTAAGTATGTCTAACGTAAACGTAACCTTACATACTGTGCCAAGTTTGAAGTTTGAAGAAACGTTGCTTGTTTTGCATAAGAAAATGAATGATATGAAGACGTTTAGGCCGGAACAGCTCTGGGTTATTCAAATTGGTCAGTTTTGTTCTCAAGTGACGTTACCACGTCACGCACACCATACTATTTTCACGCCAAGGATAGAACATAATTCAGAAGTGGGATATGGGTACGTCCTTTTAATTTGTCCCGGTCTATACTCTCTAGATCTTTAGATCTTAAATCAACTCTCGGTCCCGTCCCTCCTCCGCAGGACGGAGTTTCAGGTTTACCCGCCGACTTATAACTTAACTGCGATTACGGCTGTACATAAAGGGATTACAAAGGCATTATGTCTAGACCTACTAAAGCACCAGGGCCGAACACGGGTCTGATACCGTAAAATATAATGTGGACGAGAAATATAATGTGAGACGAGCCCTAAAGCGGTCGAGGGCTTCATTATTAAACATTATTAATATCTATTTCCACAGAGGCAGGGTTGAATATGTTGTTACAGTCTGTTCCTCTAGCAGCAGCATTAATATGACGGCTTTATCACGACGATTGCATGTTACTTGCTTTTGTGGACAATTATACAGCGTAAACTTTAAATACTAATTTTAAACAACGGCGCACCCTAACAGTACGCAATATTTTTAAAATGTTTATAAATGACTGAAAAAAGGTTTACAATATTTTTGAATATTATCAAAATGGTTTGGCAATAAAAAAAAATAATGTAAAAATATTACAAAATGATTTTATTATGCTTCTAAGATGTGGATAATCAAATATTTGATTTAATATTTTCTGCATGATTTATTTTATAAATTAATCAACTTAATTATTTATTATTAAAACAAGTTATAGTTCACAACCTATAGTTACCTAAATCAAAAAATAAAATGATAAAATTTTTATATAAAATACTTTAAATAGGAAATTAATATATACAGGGTGATTCACAAAAAGATTTGGGAATAGATGTGTCATGAAAAATGGTGTCAATACCGTAAAAAACATTGTAAAATATTTATAGTTTTCAAGAAAAAAATTATAATTTGTAATATTTTTAACCCTTACATGGCTGGGCTACTGTAGTCTCTAGCGTAATTCGCATTGGGCGCTGTGCGCAATGCGTTCTCTTTCCACGTGGTCCTAGACGATTCCGAATACTGAGATCCGATTTTAGTATTAACGTTCTTGCGATAGCGTTTACATTAGTTTTTCAAGTGTCAAACATGGCTTCCGTGTATAGCAACTCGGGGTTGATGGATATCGTTTTAATTTATCTTGGAGCAAGACAACATTTGTTTTATGGTGAAACAAGACAATTGCGTTAGTTCGTAGAAAGTGGGCTAAGACTTACTTAAAAGTGTTTCCACGTCGGTGGACAAAATTTTGAACGGTTGCAACATCAAGTATGTCAAATTATTAATATTGCCTAATTAAAACTACAAATTAATTTTATTAATTAATAATAACAATAGCGGCAAAAGCAGTTGAATTTGCTGATTAAAATAGGTGTTATAAAATTTTATTTATTTCTTTCATTGAGAAAAAAATTCTTTCAATTTTTTATCCGTTCATTTCTTATTATACTTTGCCGGTCGCCGACTGCCAGTTTTGCCTTGCGCAAGGTCATGTTTTACACTGAACTAGTTTCCAGTGTCGCGCAGAAGGGTATTTTTAAATAATTTTCGAGCTACCCTTTTTGATTTTTTTTTTACAAAATTTTGTAAGCCCTGTAAATTAAAATTTTTTTATTAGATAAGTTCTGAATCACCCTGTATAGGTTTTACACCAGCGATCAGAATATTACGCTTCAAGCTCGGTTCCAAGGTTCTGCATATTGTGCGAATTGTACAGAATTAATTTGAATTGAGTTAATTGTAATCAGTTCTATATTCACAATTAAAATATACATACACGTTTCAAGGTTCACTCACTGTATTTTAAGTGATCATCTAGACCTAGAATGTAGATTTTTTGGAAATAAATAAGTAATTTTCAATTTTTAAATGTATTGTTGTCCACGTAACAATCCCACTTCTGATATTGAAGTATATTTTCCATAAACAAGTTCTTAAATTAATTGTTTTTTACTCACTCTGAGAGGCTTTGTGTTGGGCGCCAACTGCTTGATTACCACGCATTTTCCTTGTGCGTAGGCGATGCTTTGGCTGTCAGGTGACCAGCACGCCCCATACACAGAGTTGTCGCTGGACACCACTGTAGAGCGTAGCATACCGCTACGCGACCAAATTTTCACGAGACCATCTTCTCCGGCTGTAGAAGCAAATTTAATCACATTCTTGAGAATGCAGTGAAACAGTATAATGCTACAATTGTTATTTTTAAATTATGCCTTTTTCACTAAAAATGGCAAATGGCAAACCAAGACATGGACAAGAAAAAACAAAAGGATGGGAGATTAAAAACGAAAAAAAACTGAAATGTATTATATTTTTTATGCAATATAATTCATATGTGTCCAGAGTATGACCACAACAAAATAACTTTTTTAAAAAAATGCGAGAAGTTACAACGTTACAGTTCAACATGGTTTAAATACAATTTGAATACGGTGCAACATGCTGAAATCGCCAGAAAACTCTCTACAGTTCTAGTAACGCAATTATTTCAGTTCTTATTCTGGTTGAAAGCACCAGGTCCTATTTCCTTCTAATTGCGTATTCTTGTTTCCATCTACGTTTATTTGTGTGCATCTGCTTGCGTCCCATCGAATGAATAAATACCTTGTAAACGCTTTATCGTGTCATCTATTACTCTAGTGCACGACTTAATCCGATTATTAGAAATTGCCTTGTGAGTGTTCACTTTCATGGATGCTTTCCAGGAACCCGTGTTGGTGTCACATTTGTATCATTAACTGAAGAGATCGACTGGGATTGTCGTCAGTTAACGTCAATGTTAAAATCAATCCCACTCCTGATAAATTAATTTCAGAAGTGGGATTAACATTCATCTGATATTTTTCTTTATAAGATTGACGCTTACCTGTGAGTAGCCCAGAACCGTCGTTGCCCCACTGACCCACAAGGATGGCTCCCTTGTGCGCTTCCACCGACCTTTCAATCCTGCCGGCTCTGTTCAGGATGTAGAACTTCCCATCAGCGGAGGTTAACAGGACGAGGTCTCCGTGCTTGCCCAATGTACCGCCTACCCTGGGCAGGAACTGCATATCAGTAGGGAAAAGATCCTGATTTAATTGGGCAATTTTCGTCGACTGGTTCGTAGAGACGGACCATGAGAGGAGTTGGTTGTCATCTCTGGGAAAAATTTTAAACACAATTACTTATTTGGCCCAAACGGTTAAATTTAGGCTTTAGACTGCTAACAGCAAAAAAAGTTATGTTACCGGTTGATGGTTGCTAAAGTTGAATATGTGTTGTTGGTGTCAATTACAAATATAAGTATTTTTCAAATTTATTTCTTTTACTTATACTTTCTGACATCTCTAAATTATACTACAGGTAGTAATAATTTATTAAAAAATAATTAATGTGTTTCAGGCTTAAAATATGCAATATAGTTTATACCATAAAGGAGGTAAGTATTATTTACTAATCGAGGACGATTTACGAATTTTTATACGTCAAAGAAAATTGTTTGTTGTTCAAATGAAAAGACAACTAAAGTGAGAAATAAGGCTAGAAATCTCCAAAACTGAATATTTACATTTTCCGGTAAGACAAACTCGGAACAAGTTAGAAAGAGATATGTCATTTCAAACTTCAACCGATTTTATAATCTACGCTATCATGTCAAGTCAGACAAAATGAGGTCTTGGACAAAAATTTGACTAAAAATCTGACACATGCCTTATGTGGAAGTCTGAACTTGCTCTGTATCGACCTTGAACAAAATTACCTTTAATCAGAGGTGCGCAGCTGATTTTTGCCTTGAATATGAAGTCACTTACCGGCTAATACATTAATTTTAATAATGACATTTTAAGCGGGTGCAAAGCGAAGGTGAATAACATCGACTCACCCCGAGGAGTAGACTTCTTCTGTGCTGCTCCATCCCACACAGGTGACGGGAGCATCGTGCGAAGGCCTAGACGCAATCGATATTTTGAATCTCATGGCTGCCGATTTGACAAAAAATTATATTTTTACTAAAATCGTAGGGATATCAGGTGTTCGCGCCGAGCGAACTACACGGGTGTTTATTTTGTTTGTGTTTGTGTTGCTATGGCGATGGCATGGTGAGAACGGACAAACTGGGTCGTTTTTTCGAAATGTAACGAGTCGCAGTTGTAGTTAATTAGCGAGAGCGGGGGATCGAAATGGCCATGTAGACGTACGAGATAAAAATTGTAATTTGAATTCGTGTAGATTTGAGGCGTTGGATTTGCGATACTATCGGTGGTAATATTGGGAGTAGTTAAATTTAAATTTAATTAACATTATTATAATTACTAAATCTAATTGGTGTAAAAATAATTTGTAATATAAAGGGTACAATATGAAAATAATAACTAAGTTTTAGTACTAAAGTATATCGTATTAAAATTAAATTAAAATTCAGTTTTTTTAAATTTGAATAGGTATGCAACCAACCTCACTAAACTGAATAATAGTTGCGTTATTGTAACAACAGTATGCATTAAATACAAAAAGTACTAGACCAAGGCGGATCTGTCGAAATATTCCACTTTGTAATGTAAGAGAGAGCAAGCTACTTTTTGCTGGAATACCTTCAGTTCTCACATAATAAAAGTGTAGATCCCTAGATCTGGGCGAGGTTCGAAACATNCTTTTCACATTTTAGCACTACACATACCTTGTTGTATCAGCAGGAAATCTAAAGAAACTTTTCTTTGAATAATATCTCTGATTTCTACAACTTCTCACTGCACAAACACCATGACTCATTGTCTTATATATTGTTATACTTAAATAACAAATAACGTTAGTCTCACACTATGTCAGTACTACTACACCAAATTATAAACAACTATTCACAAACAACTAATTCAACAAATGCACGCCTATGACTTTACTGCAAGAGCAAAGTGAAATAAACTAAACTCGGTTATAGACGCTACGACGCTACTGACAGCATTTTGACGGATTTCCTACCAAGAAATGTCATGCGCGAGAACGTGCGCAGATGTAAAAAAAGAAGATGTGTTATTGCTGGTTGTTTTATTTGCCGTGCTTCAACATTGATTTTATAATCTACGCTATCATGTCAAGTTAGACAAAATGACGTCTTGGACAAAAATTTGACTAAAAGTCTGACACATACCCTATGTGGAAGTCTGAACCTGCCCTTTGTCGACCTTGTACAAAACTACCTCTAATCAAAGGTGCACAGCTAATTTTTGCCTTGAATATGAAGTCACTTACCGGCTTATACATTAATTTTAACAATGACATTTAAAGCGGGTGCAAAGCGAAGGTGAATAACATCGACTCACCCCGAGGAGTAGACTTCTTCTGTGCTGCTCCATCCCACACAGGTGACGGGAGCATCGTGCGAAGGCCTAGACGCAATCGATATTTTGAATCTCATGGCTGCCGATTTGACAAAAAATTATATTTTTACTAAAATCGTAGGGATATCAGGTGTTCGCGCCGAGCGAACTACACGGGTGTTTATTTTGTTTGTGTTTGTGTTGCTATGGCGATGGCATGGTGAGAACGGACAAACTGGGTCGTTTTTTCGAAATGTAACGAGTCGCAGTTGTAGTTAATTAGCGAGAGCGGGGGATCGAAATGGCCATGTAGACGTACGAGATAAAAATTGTAATTTGAATTCGTGTAGATTTGAGGCGTTGAATTTGCGATACTATCGGTGGTAATATTGGGAGTAGTTAAATTTAAATTTAATTAACATTATTATAATTACTAAATCTAATTGGTGTAAAAATAATTTGTAATATAAAGGGTACAATATGAAAATAATAACTAAGTTTTAGTACTAAAGTATATCGTATTAAAATTAAATTAAAATTCAGTTTTTTTAAATTTGAATAGGTATGCAACCAACCTCACTAAACTGAATAATGTTAGTTGCGTTATTGTAACAACAGTATGCATTAAATACAAAAAGTACTAGACCAAGGCGGATCTGTCGAAATATTCCACTTTGTAATGTAAGAGAGAGCAAGCTACTTTTTGCTGGAATACCTTCAGTACTCACATAATAAAAGTGTAGATCCCTAGATCTGGGCGAGGTTCGAAACATTTTTAAAATTGCAAAATAATTTTTTTTTAAAAATACCTATTTTATCTGAGTTTTTTACTTATATCTTGGAACCTATGCATTTTGGAATAATATTGAAGAGGAAAAAAGTTTTAGAATTGAATTTTGCACAATATACTGTACGTTAAAAATGTTTAAATTTATTACCGATGTTGCAAAATAGCAATAATTGATGAAAAAAAGGTAAAATAAACAAGTTTTTTGGATAATAATATTTTAATTACTCCGAAGGCATTCTAATTTTGGTAAAAAAAACTTTAGAATATAATTAAACAACACACCAAATTTCATTAAAATCGGTTCTATAGTTTTCGCAAAATAATTTTTTGAAAGAAAATTTCGAATTTTCAAAATGTTGCACAGCCTCAAATAAAGTATCTGGATACTTTAAAATTTTTCCACATAGAAAAGACCGCTCAACCTTTCAAATGGTTTTTGAAAAATTGAAATCGGTTGATTAGGACGGTCGCAGTAAATTGTTAAAGTTAACACTCTTTTTTTATTTTTAAAGAATTAAATTACATTTATCAATTTGCAATTTAGTTTTTTTCATAAATTGTAATTTTAAAGTAGTTGGAAAGACTTCTTTTAAAAAAAAAGTTAAATTCCGTTTATTGGTTCTCGAGATATAAGCGGTCAAAATTTATCAGCATTTACCATTAATTTATAAACAATTTAGCAATAATCTTTGATCCAGTGGCTGCGTTTTTTCCGAGTTCTAAGCTCCAAAAAATTTTCATATCCATAAGTTATCGGCAACATAGATAAATCAGCGGAAAAGCTTCATAACAAAAAGAGGCAGGTT